AGATGCAAAATTTACCCCTCTGAAATTACAGTATTTAATAATTTTCATATCTTGAAGATATAATTTTGTCTTTATTTCGTAGTGAAATATGTTAGTTTTGGCTACAAAATTGATTATACATTACCATAGATGTAGCGAACATTGATGAAGAAGTGTGTGTGTGTGTGTGGGGCGGGGGTGGGGGGGTGGGTGGTTTGGCACAAGTCGATAAAATAGGGGCATCTCCGTGAAGGTGCAAATAGCTGATTTAAACCAGTTTCTGAAAAGTGAGTGGGAGGTATGAACCCCCTGTGCCCCAGATTCTTACATCTACAGGACAGTCTCTTAAACGTAAAACGTTTCGTTATCCCATCCACCCCCACCCTTGAGCTATAATACAATGAAGATCTTCAAAGAATGGCTCTAGGCAAAAGTAACTGGCAAAGGAATAAAGAGTGACGCCTGAAACCATTTGTATAAGTACTTTTTATCTGTTAGAGAAATACCCAGGATAACCTTTAAAGCTTCAAAGGTGAAATTTTCCTCGATCTCGGAAACGCAGCTATTCCTGGACACCTGGCGTAGTTTGGCAATTAGTATTCCTTATCATCTCGGTTTCCTAATTAATAACTCACAAAAACGTATTTTGTGACAAAGTGCTCTGATAAATTTTCCAATACAAATACTGGCGAAGCCCTTTCTAGCGTAATTTCATAACTTGGAGCATGAAAGAGAACCGCGAACATATGCCTTTAGGCGAATGAACCCAACATCTCGTTATCATAAGAACTCCCTGTGTACCTTCCTAGGGCGTGGAGCCAGTTATTAAGGGTGATATGCAGCAAAACACATTTCGAATAGTGGTAATATCGTTACTACTGTCAATAACGGGGATGGCGATTGGAAGATAAGAATAGTGAAGAACTATCGGTCTGCCCTGTCTTTTTCTACAATTTTCTTTGGATGACTTGCTTTCAGAGTTCTCACTATACACCTACATTTTATAAAGAACTTTAACAAAATTCTGTTATACGAGTTTCTTAATTTTCTACTTCATTTTGGTACACAATGTTTCTTAAGGATGTTTTTTACACGAAAACTTTATTTCACACAATTCATCAACCCTAATTGTCATATAAACATAATTAAGATTTTATTTGAGTCAATAGGTAGCGAAAACTACTGCAGTTGTCGCAAAGGTCCAAAAAATATTTTTTTTTTAATAGCAAACAAAGCTACCTAAAATGTACACAAATTTTTAAAGAATGTTGAAAAAATCAGAAGAGATGTCACAAACTGTGGCAGGAAATCAAAATGTACGAAACTGACAGTTTGAGAACTCAAATCAAATATAAAATGATTGATAACACAACATCAAACTTTTTTTTAATTTTTTAAGCTCTTGTCCGAAAGCTTCGAGACTTTGAAAGAGGGTTTTGTATATAAGATGGGCTAGTGTAAAGTGACCTAGCAATAACACAGGTTTAAAGATTGACGGTACATAGGTTTAAAAATCAATTAAAGGTAATTTCCTGAGATCAGACCACAAAAAGAGTTGTAGCTGGAAAAAGCGATTCGACGTATTTGAGTAGGTTTAATCAAAACTCCGATTCTGTTTGCACCTGCGAACCCAGGACTTTAAATCAGCGAAAACTCTAACCAATCTTGTAAGCAATGTTACCCTTAGAGTGAGACCTTTCTGATATTTGGGACACTCTTTATTCTGCCATCTGATTAATCCACCCAACTTGAACTTGATTTTAATTCAGATTAAGCTGATAAAAAAATCCTTATTTCTGTTTGCAACTCATTTGTGACAAGTTGGACACTGCATTTGCATACGTTGAAATCTATATTCTAAATGTATTGTTGCTGGATCGCTGACTTTTAAAGTAATGGATTAACTCAATGAATATCAAACAAAATTATCTAAAATCTAGATCTCTTTTATCTCTTTCCAAAATCATTGAAAATTTGTAATTTAAATCGTTATGAATGGAATTTTTTAAAGTAACATATTCTTTTAAGACCATTTCTCCGTTCGTAGTAACGAGATATTTTGGACGCGCTTCCAAAATCCTTTTTATCGCGTTAATCTCAACTGAAAGTGGTCGACAAATCGACTTACGCGTCCTCTTTAAACCATTGTCAATACAGTAATTTATGTACACACATTGCTTGGATCCAGTGGTGCAAGAGCACTAAGGTCTCAAAGGAGGGGAGGGGGGCTATTCTGCGTGGTCCCCTTTTTTGTCTTTTAAAGCTCGATACCCCTGTTTGGACTCTTTGGAACCTTGCAAGCAAGGATGCAAATTATGATGCAATTTAAGGAAAAATACTCTACAGAAAATCTTTATGTATCAAGTTCATTACAGTTATATATAATGTCATCCTCCCTAGCAGCTATATAAAATATCACATACTTATTCATCGTACACAAAATGTAAAATAGACAAGCTTGGTAGGGACTGTTATGCTACATAACCCCTAACAATATACAGCTAAGCCTCAATAACCAGACTGGGTCAACTGAAGGTACACATTAATGTTGCACAATGATGTTCATCAAACTGTCCAAGAATGAATCTAGTATTTCAGCAATGCACCTAGTGACCTTGGATGGGTATTAATGTAACAAAATTGGCACTGAAGACACGATCAATTCAGAATTTATTTGTACTTAAACTCTTTTTCGGATTTAAAACAAAAGCGGAAAACCGAGAGGTCACCGGAGATATTTTTCACTTCCTTAACGATCTGTAGAAACAACGATCTTTTATTTGGTCTTCAATAAGAATTGTCTTCTTTTACATTCATCGAAACAAACAAAACAAGCATTTAAATGCAACCTAGAACTCCTAAGCGGATTTTCCGACACCCCTAATGCCTTAACAACAAAGCTTTTTGCAAGGCAACGATTTGCACTTGAGGACATGCTGGAACAGCATACCGCACTACAAACATATTTCATAAAACTCACGTTTCAGCTGGTTCACATATACCTTGTAACATTTTCTAAAGATATTAGAAGCAAAAACCTGGCAAATATTGTCCCATAATTATTTTAGGATCTTAAAAACAAGACCAACATAAATCATAAGCCACTAAAGGGTCAATTTTCCTCAACAAATAGCACACTGTTCTATTATTTGGCACAAAGCCATAGAGTTTACGGTACCATCTCAGCTCGGGTATATGATTTTATCATCCGCGTAGGTTAGGTTTTATAGACAATGAAACATTGTTTCTCTTTTTGTCGTTGCTTGAAAGCCGCATTCGACCCGTTCGGTCGCAATTGATAAATGTGTTCATTTTATTCGTGACAAGGCTCAGGAAATATAAGTGTCTCGAAATCTTTAAAAAATTTTCAGTCGAAAGGAGTATGATGCAAATAAAACTAGAAAACTAAACCCTAAAAAACTGAAAATTAAATATAAAAACATAAGAATAAAGCTAAAAGCTTGACTAAATCTAAAAACTAAAGTCAACTTGACTAAACAAAACAAAAGAGACGAAACTAAACTAAAAGTAAAATAGAATGAGGTAAGTAAAGTAACGAACGGAACGTACCGGAACGTAAGGTAACGCAACGTTATGTTACGTTAATGTTGACCTTAGTTTTTAGATTTAGTTAAGCTTTAAGCTTTATTCTTATGTTTTTAAAGTTAAGTAAAAAAAAGTAAATTTAAAGTAAAGAGAGTAAAGTAAAGTAAAGTAAAGTAAAGTAAAGCAAAGTAAAGTAAAGTAAAGTAAAGTAAAAGTAAAGTAAAGTAAAAGTAAAGTAAAGTAAAGTAAAGTAAAGTAAAGTAAAGTAAAGTAAAGTAAAGTAAAGTAAAGTAAAGTAAAGTAAAGTAAAGTAAAGTAAAGTAAAGGAAAGTAAAGTAGAGTAAAGTAAAGTAAAGTAAAGTAAAGTAAAGTAAAGTAAAGTAAAGTAAAGTAAAGTAAAGTAAAGTAAAGGAAAGTGAAGTAAAGTAAAGTAAAGTAAAGTAAAGTAAAGTTAAGTAAAGTAAAGTAAAGTAAAGTAAAGTTAAGTAAAGTAAAGTAAAGTAGAGTAAAGTAAAGTAAAGTAAAGTAAAGTAAAGTAAAGTAAAGTAAAGTAAAGTAAAAAGTAGTAAAGTAAGTAAAGTAAAGTAAAGTAAAGTTAAGTAAAGTAAAGTAAAGTAAAGTAAAGTAAAGTAAAGTAAAGTTAAGTAAAGTAAAGTAAAGTAAAGTAAAGTAAAGTAAAGAAAAGTAAAGTAAAGTAAAGTAAAGTTAAAGTAAAGTAAAGTAAAGTAAAGTAAAGTAAAGTAAAGTAAAGTAAAGTAAAGTAAAGTAAAGTAAAGTAAAGTAAAGTAAAGTAAAGTAAAGTAAAGTAAAGTAAAGTAAAAGAAAAGTAAAAGAAAAGTAAAGTAAAGTAAAGTAAAGTAAAGTAAAGTAAAGTAAAGTAAAGTAAAGTAAAGTAAAGTAAAGTAAAGTAAAGTAAAGTAAAGTAAAGTAAAGTAAAGTAAAGTAAAGTAAAGTAAAGTAAAGTAAAGTAAAGGAAAGTGAAGTAAAGTAAAGTAAAGTAAAGTAAAGTAAAGTAAAGTTAAGTTAAGTAAAGTTAAGTAAAGTACAGTAAAGTAAAGTAAAGTAAAGTAAAGTAAAGTAAAGTAAAGTAAAGTAAAGTAAAGTAAAGTAAAGTAAAGTAAAGTAAAGTAAAGTAAAGTAAAGTTAAGTTAAGTAAAGTAAAGTAAAGTAAAGTAAAATAAAATAAATACACAAACTATTAACAAATGATATACAGGTTGACCACACAGCACAATTGGCCAAAGCTGAGAACACTCTGGATGAGTTCTTTACGGAAACGGTTCGGTTAGGAAAGACAATAAAAAAGATTCACCTTCCTGACATCGTGCCACACCAGACCAGCGTTTTTTGCGCCGTTGGATCGCCAAATCTTCCCGGCTTATCTTTAACAGCCTCAGCTGCAAGTATTCGAGCCTCGCAAGCATTAAAGCTCTCGATGACATGAGGCACCGATGACATACACATCTCCATCAATGTTATTTGCCCAGCGTGGTCAGTCCCACTGAAAATCCATAGAACTGGCTTTGTCGAGCCATTAGGGGTTATTTCTAGAATTTTCTCGATCTAAAAAGAAAAAATTAAGGTTTAACTTGAATCTTTTTGCTTATATGGATATATGGATAACTACAGGGGCGCGCAACTATGGTTTTCTTCAGGGGACGAAACCTTCAGTCCTTCGTTTCGAAACAATACCGTTTTAAATCAATAAATGTTGCAGGGTCATAGCACATGCGCATTAATAACAGTATTCGCACGGCTGTTCTGTTTGGGACCACACAACTTCCCGCCAGAGCTTCAAGTGATAATGCGCATGTGCAATGACCATGAAACGGGGGCTAGTGCATGTCTGGAAGACGGGCATGATTCATCTCCCGAACAAGGTTCCCAAGGGTAACACAATGACCGTTTCTTCCTCTCTTTCTTACAAATTCAATGGACGTCCAATAATTGTTTTTCATAGCCATATCAAACAATTCATTTGCTGACAATTGAATTTTAGAATATATTACAATTTCAAGGCATTAATCTGTCATATTACCTTAAATATTACTTTGCAAAATGGCAAAAAATACAACTTAATTAGCAAGGAAATTTCAAATTGATCATAACACTAATTGAAGTCCTATGTCTTGCCTTGTAGCGCACAATTTGATGGGTTCAAATTGATATCCTACGGCAGTTCAAATAAATGCAATGATTTATTCTAGACAGAGAACGATTCATCGACGTGGCTCGTTAACCAATATCTTCGTCACAATCACCAACACATAATGATTTGTTTGGTCAAAGACGATTACGAGAAAGCCCAATTTAGAAATGATCGGCTTTTGCAAACTTCCTTTTGGTCTATTATCTCCATCTTCCAGACACACGAACACGCAAAAGCTCCTTGTGACGAAACCATCTACAAAATCGAATTCTCCCTCAATACTATGAAGTGAACACTCAAACCACGAAATGACACTCAAATGAGACGAGAAGCTTAAGAAAAAGTGTTAAATCTCAAAATTACAGAGAGCGAATTGGAGTTTCGAAGAGTTGCAGTGTGAACTCAAAAACAGCGCTCAAAGTTACACGTTTATGTCGCTATGACATACAGTAAACAATTAACAAAGGTGTTAAATAGAACTGAGAAACAAAGAACAAAGAATAAGAATAAGGGACTACTTGTAAAATTACAAAATAATTTTGGTTTTCCTCTTCTGTTGTAAACAAACACACGTGCTTTGTTTTGATTCTTCAACTGCTATTTGATGAACAAAACTAACAAAGCATGCTCGTTAATAGTAAGGTCCTTTTGGTAGCAAAAAACTGACAGTATTCATTATAAGAATTTTGACAGATGGTTGATCCTAAATGCATGACCACGAACAACAGATATACAGAAATAGCTATTATAAGCGAGAATGAATCAATGAAAATCAGTTAGAAAGGAACAACGGTGCTTTATGTGATCGCAATTGCAGTGTGTGGTTGATTAGGTTAGAAAGCAAAGCCCTTCAAATAATATAGCGACAAATTCGCGACAATTACGGAAATTAAAGTTTCTAGAGTTTTCTCAGCAACCAAGGTTTTCATCTGCAAATACACGACTAATAGACGAGACGGCGAAAAGTTGTAGCGTAGGAAATTTGGATGAATTTAATAGTCATTGCACCTAAGCGAATAGTCATTAGACTCAACTCTTAGGCATTTCAGACTGTTCATGGTGGTACATTGATCCCCAAAAATTTCAGATGGTTTAATTTCGGAGGTTTACTATTTGGACAATTCCGGACAACAATGTAAAAGGCGCTAGGAAACTGGGGAACTCGCAAATTAACCATTCCCAATTTTGGAGGAAGCCGGGACACTAATAGTGCTTGACAATGAGTATACTGACAACGATATAGTCTATGGCCAGTAAAATTTTTGGAGGGTAATTTTTGAGGACCTTGTATTGTCCAACATTGTTACCGTACGAAATTTTCGGGGACAGATCATGATTGATCTACTCATTGACATGATAAACCTAGTGTTGCACAAATGTACGACAGTCCTGCACAATCGTACAATTGTATAATACAAATGTAGGCAGTATTTCTACGCTGACTTGATGTCATTGGTGTCATCAAGGAAGAGAAACTAACCACACAAATTGCGAGGCGTGGCAGGATGGTAAGGCAACATTAGTTAGAGTATGTTCCGACGACAAAGCTTAATATCCTGGTCTCAACAAGAGATTCCTGAATTTTCTAACGATTGAAGGAAATTACATCATCGACATGAACTTTAATCTTTAACAAAAGTGTGGTAAACAGAATTCAATTTTAAACGAGGATATTTGCGGTAGGATACGATAAGGAAGCTGCAAAACCATTTCATACCGAACAAAAGTCGACTGAAGGGATGACAAGATTTTAACGGCCAGGAGTTGGTCATCAGCATCAGACAATCTGCACTGTGTTCCTTTTAGGCAATGTATTCTGTTTGTATTTGACAGTGCAATGTATTCTTGAAAGAAAATTTAGAACCACGCCCCCAAAACCAGAAACAAGTGTGATATATTGAGGCAGCAGTGAGAAGATAGAAGGGAAAGAAACTGCTCACAAAGACTAACGATGGTCAGGGCAAGTGTGCTCTGAAAGCGCTGTGTTTTTTAAGTGTCGATTCCATAGGAATTTGCCTTACCTTTCTTTAAATTTACTCTAGCCTTATATTTATTAAAATAAAGATGTATTTATTAATCAGTGTAACAATTGAAGACATTTCTAAGTTGCAATTAGAAATGGCTCGACGCATAATAGGTTCAAAGTTCAAAGAAACGCATAATGTAAATGGTAGATAAAGACTTGATGGGCCAGGAAGCTTTCGAGAAAGGAAGCATCAGAAATATTCTTCTTTCGTGTTATGTTTTCAAGTAAAAGATTGTCGGACAAATCACTATAAGCATATTGCAAACCAAGAAGGAAATTAAAGATCAGATTCACAAGTCCGAGAAACCTTGGTAAACGATTTCGTATAGAATAGATTTCAAAGAGCCACTAAATCGTTGTACTTTTGGCAAATAGCAACCAAACAATTGACTGATTGAAGGCGTGTGGTGCCAATTGGTTACTCTGTGGTTCGCGGAAGCAACCAAGCCCTAATCATAGAACTGAGCAATTTTTGTAAACAGGCAGAGCCACTGATAAAAACAAGAAGCCCGAAATACGTAAAAGATATCTCCAGATCGACTTGCTGTTTTGTTTCATAAAAAATTACATTGATAAGACTTGCAGTTTCCACAAACTTTCAAGCATTACAATGCTCTCTCGATAGAATGAAACTGTATGCTTACAAGACTTAGCTGTGTTTATCACCGCCCGTTTAATCAATAATAGTAAAGAAAGCTTTGTATAAAAATTGAGTTCTTTGATAAATGGAGAAGTTCAATGATATTCAACTAGCATATCTACAAAACAAAGAATGCAGTCCGCTTAACTTATACGAACAAACAACTATCAAAAACCTTTAGAACTTAAAAACACGTCGGAAATATGGAAAACAGCTATAATGGAATAAAGGACTATAAATTTAATGATTTGATAACTGTGATATAATTATAACGATATAAAATTGGGATAAAGACTCTTTGTGGCGGCCAAAATGTTTCTTAAACGGAATGAGAGGTGTCTTTTGTACTGACTGTGGACAGGGGAAGCGAGGTTTCGAAATATACTGCCCGCTCAAGAAACAACAGGGCAAGCGAGGTTTCGAAATAAACTGCTTACTCAAAATACAACCAATCATTTCACCAGAATCATAAAAAAAGCTGTTTTCTATTTTTGCTCGAGTATCAGATGAGACAAACTTGGTTTTTTCTGATCTGTTCTTCAAAAGATCTGTGTGGCAGCACTATCTGATAGCACAATTTACAACTAGATAATCATCAAGTATTTGAATCTCAAAAAAAAGTGCTGGCAACCGATTCTTTACCTAATGTTTAGACTTCTTGTCTATAACTGATATGGAAAATTATAAGGGCCAAACTCTCCGCCTTCGAACTCTCAAGGCTATTATTGTGAAATATGGTACCGAGAAACCAGAAAAAGAAAAGCATGACAAAACATGACTTACTGAGTACTTTGATTCAACCATAAAAAGAGGCACTTTGTTTGCCAAAAGAGGCAGATTCCTCCGCAGGATCCCCATGTTTCCGATATTAGCACTTTCATCTTCAAGTATGTACCATCCAGGATTGTTTTCGAATGCTATAAAACAGTAATTGAAATAACATAAATATCCACTATTCAATTCAGGTTGATTTAATCTTTAATGTCAAAGTTTTTAGCATTTGCGAGTGAAATACTCTAGGGTCTCAAATGACTCAGTTTACAGATTGCCTCAAGACTGTTTATGGTTTCATAATTCAATTTTAACAAATTTCGTGTTTCTACAAGGAATGTTTCAATACTTGAACAAAACTATCGTAGTCTTTTGAATTTTTCGTTTACAGAACAGCATCATTAAAAGACCTAGGCCAAACAAAATTTCAATGTGAAAACTCTTTCTTTGAAATTTTCCTTGAATTGAAAACTCTTTTGTTGTCCTACTGAAAACACACATAAAATGTTGGTAACTAAATAAAAATGTCTTACTTAAGTAACTAAATATACATATTAAAAGATATATAAATATTGGATATAGTCTGGCTGATGAGTGCGCAAGCATGAAACTCGGAGTAACATGTCTTACTTTTGGCCTATCTTCTACTATAAATATTTGCTTATAAATGCATAAATAATGATAATCGAAGAGAAGAACTGTAAAATTTTTAAAATTGTTTAAGCTTAAGGTTAGATGCAAAATATCAGTCACCCAGTCGCAGCTTTGCATTTTCAAGCTCCGTCGTCCACTCGATTTTCCTCTGCGGAGGATGCAGGTTGAACAGACAAGTCGTTGTCTTTTTGTCTCTAAAAAAGGTGAGACTTAAAATTTAATCACGCACAAATAAAAAAAAGCTAAATTACGGCTTTATTCCGAAAACATACTTCTTTGGGGGGAATATATCTTCCTTAGTTGAAGAGGTGGTCTTTGTGCAAAGGTATGAAAAATTGCTTGTTGTTCCATAGACTTTAGGAAGATATGGTGCGAGCTACATAAAAAAATACAGATTTCACGTCGAAGCATTCATACCAAAAACAAAATATAAAAACAGGGGAATGTTAAAAAGATGTATGTAAAAACTTTTCATGGCGGTAGTTGTCGAATAAATTGACTATAACTAAAGAGGCTGCTGCCGGATATACATACTTCGCTGGAATTGAAAGTTCCAGCCAGTGCATATTGGCAAGGTCGAGTTCCTGGTCGAATGTTTCTTTGACATCACGATACCATTCACTCACTTTTGGTTCATTAATTATCTGCAAAAAACCGATGAATGAGCTATGAACCTAGACTACGTTACTTAAAAATTGAAAAAAAAATATATGACGTGAATATTTTTCAGCATAAAACTTGGACCACCATAAAAACAATGGTCTAAACACTTTATAATTTATAGCAATAGGCAAACTTGAATAATCTAAAAAAGTTTGTGTATGGAGACGGGCGCCACGAAGTTGAACCTGGGAGGGCTAAGAATCAAGTTTAATGACATAGAAGAACCCACTATGCTTCGACGATTCTCAGGAAAACATTGATTATTGATTTTTAGAAAAGATTGCGAGGGGAGGATTCAAGCTAAAACTCTGGTGATAGATGTGGGGAAAGGAAGAAATGGTGACCAGAGGTTCAGAGTGCACATCTCAAGAATGCTGAATTGACTGGAGGATTTTACTTCCTGAACACACATGTGCATCTTCTTTTTCTCGAGTATTTTCAGTAGGCCATGATTACACATCAAAAATGACATTGCAAAGATAGAGAGTTATTTATCTACTGAATTGATGCAAATAAAGTCAAATAATAGAAATATACCTCAATGAGTTGGTAAATCGGTCAAAAAAAATCAAGCAGTACATAAACACTTTGTTCTCTTTTCATTTTACATTCTCTTTTCTTTTCAATTTATACTCTGTTTTAAAAAATAATAGAAAGGACGGTAAAAAGATTTTGATCTTTGAAAAAGTGAGTGGCGCTGTGCCTGGTGTAGAAATACAGATCAAAAGCCCATACCGTTCGCTAAATCAGCTAACTTGTCGCCTTACTCTAGTGTCTCTAATAGAAGGGGGGAGGTAAGAGAAAGGGGGTGTTCATTCCTTCGGTACTTCGATTTAAAAAAGGATTACCGACATGAACACCCGCTTCTGTTAGCACCCCCTTCAATTTTCAATAGAAGGGAGGTGCTTATAGAAGGGGGTGTTCATGTCGACCAGTTTTCAATTGAAGGGGGTGCTAATAGAAGCGGGTGTTCATGTCGGCAATCTTTTTTTAAAATCGAAGTACCTTTAAGAATAAACTGTCCAAATTTGGTTTCATTTTTTTGCATAGTTTTAGAGAAAATTGCAATCATACAAAGATAAATCAAATTTACAGCTTTTAACTTCTAAGTCAAAAATCATCGGTTTCCTTTGTACAATTGAGATTCTACAAAAAACTATGAAAAACAACGAATAATGAAAATCAAATGACTTGATTTGTAAAATTTAATAGAAGGGGGTGCTAATAAGTGACGGGGGAGGGCAAATTCTTCCGAAATTAATACACGGGGGGCGTCTATTAGAGACACTACAGTAGGGACAAGTTGCCGATACAGATCAAACCCTTTCTTAGATATCTCTCAAATAAAAATCTTAGAAAATTTTCAAAACGATGACGGTAATGGGATTTAACCAAGGCTCCCACCCATGATGCATGCAGTTTGAACAAAATAACATGGTTAAACAAAACCCAAAACAAATGCCTACTGTGACAAGTAGAGCCATAGCGCAGCAATTATAGTCTAACCATGTCTCAACTAGCATCGCCTTTGACTGATAGACGACCACCCAGGTCTTTTCTACTCCTCAAGAATTCTAAATAAATTATTTAAATCGTCTACAAAAAGATTTCTTGGAACTGAGATGAATAACTGACGCCACTTTACATTGCCTGGTACATTCAGTGAAAAATCGTACCTCTCTACCTTTAATGACAGTGAAAGTGCTTTGTGTTATAAGCACGTAGTGGCAAATGACGAAAATGCAAGAAAGTCTTTCTTATTGTCGTACAATACAAAATCAATAGAGCTAAGGGGACATAACGAACGTGTTTCATAAAACACTTGACCTCACAAACAGATACAAAATGGACATGGCCATTTGCGTTGCAATAAGTGTAGAGTATTACTGCGAGTAGAGTACGCCGTTAACCACTCAAAGTAACATTAATTCTATTGATCAATTTGCAAAGCGTTCTAAACTGAAAAAGGTGATCGTCTGAACAATAGCAAGATCCTCTTTAATCCATCGAGAGGATCTTGCTAACGTTTAATAGATCCGATAAAAGAACCACAAGTATTAATAGAATATCAGAGTGTCTAATGTTCTCGAGCAAAAGACAAATAAAGAGCTTGCTTCTGTGTGAAAAAACACGGCGAATCGTGCAAAATGCTAGTGATCATCCAGTCTAATATCTTTTCTAAAGTCTGGGCCGCCGAGAGCCAGGCGAGGCCCAGGGACACGCCCAATGCTTGGGTCCCTTCCTACCCAAACAATAAACCTAGAATGTGTTCAAGATGCATAAAATCTTCTTAACCTTTCCCAGAACAGATAGCTCAGTGCATGGCTCAGTGTTTAGGGTCGCTGAGTACAGATCCAAGGGTTCGTGATTAGAGTCCATGGCATGACCAAACTTTCTCTCGGAGTGAGGAGAGTCGCCAGCTTTCTGTTATTCCAGGCGCAGGAATCACGAGGTGTGGTCGCACAAAGAGGAAAGATCAGGACACTGCTCAATAACCATAAGCTTCTCAGTATCTTAAAAACTACCTTCGGATGCTAGTTAGAAACAAATACAAAGTTATGTGATGGGAGTAGCTTGTGTACCTAGCTGATAGTGAATCCTTATAGAGAACATATTTTGTTGGATATCATATTGGTAAAGCCAGTCTGCAGAGTATGGCAGTAGCATGGATGCTAGACCTGTAAATATTTTCTTATTGAGAATCGTATTGTAAATAGAGACCGTTTAATTACTATACTAACAAGAGCCTCTTTACTAAAGCGACAAGGGTCAATTGCCCTCTCCCTCGCGTGGCCTGACTACGCTGTTTTATGTTTCCAAACTTTTATAAAACTTATGATACAATCTTGGTATTGAAAAATGATTGCCAAGGGTCAGAACATTTGGGACTTTTTGGCGAATAGTGTTGAAGTACCCCTTGTCTAAGAAGCAAAATCAATTCTCTATAAAAGGATTTCAAGACACAACTTAGTTACAAAGGTGAACCAAATGATGAATATATCCAAACTGACATACCAAACACCTAAATAAATGACATAACTGATTAGCCAAAATTTTAACGATCTGATAAACGAACTTTGCCCATGTTTGAAAAAGCAAGGGGCGGAGTCTATTTAACAAAAAATGCTTATCATTGGCATGCAGACACACCCCTTGGTTTGTACTATAGTTATTTTTTCAATACATTTTTTTTTTCAACAGAGGCTAAGTCTTGATAACCGCGATGTGCAAAAATGGCGGGAATTAGCAGGCAAGGTTTTATATGACCATACATTACAGCGAGCCTTGGCGCTGGTATGGAGAACGCGGCGATGGCGCACCCAAGATTCAGGCATCATGAACCCAAGGTCTTATCATACTCTGTAAATTTGCCTGATAATAGATAACAAGTTGGCCAAAAACGCAAAAAGTGGGTCTTGTCCAAGTCTCACAAAGCACCCTTAAAATGTACATTCAAACGAAATATTGAAATTGAAATTGTTACCCTGACCTTCTGTTGGGCAAACTTGGTTACTTCGCCCTTACAGTCAATGATACAGGGTTATTCACGGAAAATTCGCATAACTCAAGATGAAAAATATGGACCAACTAGGAAAAATTGTCTCTCCTTTTCGCTAAAATACGTCTCGTATGCCTTGTGAATAGTCCGTTACCCAAGTCATGGCCAGGAAAAGGCAAACAATATCTAAAAGCTTAGCTTAGGCTGTCATAAGCAGCCGCGTCAAAATAGGGATAGCATGGACCTCCAGGGAACTTATCTACCTTTGTTAAAGACATGGGTTGATAGAACTAATGACACATCGCTTAGTTAGATAACTTCTTTAGTTACGGAGAGCTTCTTTAAATGGATCAAAAGATACAATCTCCATCTAAGCCACAATTTTCCATTTAGTTCTTATGACAATGATTTTGTTTGAAACAGGCACGTGCAAGTAATTACAAGTTTCTGTGAAAAAGGGAAAATTGCGGTCAACTGTTTCAATTAACATGATCATGGCGGTCATCGAATAGGTGCAAATGTCATAGGAGCTTTAAACGCTTGCGTCCTTACACGAATATGACCAACATGGATTGTGTGTATTGTATATTGATGAGGTCAACTTCATGCAGGCTGTACAACAGAGAATAAAAGCAAGAGAGGTTTTTTGAGTTGTAAAAGAAAACCTGAAAATGGTAGCTTCCTTAACTTACCATTCACATTCGCCTTCGGAGAACCATTACCTAAAATTTCTTAAACTAGCTGCATTCTAGGATTCCCTTCGCATGCTTCCCCTACAAAGCCCTCGAACCCCCTTCTGCCTGTAGAAATATATACATTCGGCCGCACTGCGTAGAAATCAACATCCAGCACCTTCTAAAAAACTGCCAAGATAGTTTCAATCGCCTTTAAAGCCAATCGATAAAAGGGAAGGATGACGCCTTGCTATCCTCACAGCCTGGCACATTTTTTTACGATATCTAATTAAATGAAATTAAGGTCCTCTGTCGGAATAATTTTGCCGTGGCTTGGTGCCCTTAAAATTTTGTTGATTTGCGGCTCGAGTTCTTATTTAAAAATTGATTTTTCTACATACACATTATATAAACTGTTTCAAAACCAACTAAATAACAGTTTTGCATAACTTTTTAGTACCCCGGTTGATTAGCTTTTAAAACCTACACCACTGGTTCGCATGAAATTGTTCAAAAAAGCTCTCTTTTATTTTTTTCTAATTTAGTATCTGAGAATTAGCAAGCACGTATGCACCTAATTTGTTTGAAAACGAGCTTTCTTATAAAGAGTGGGCTCTCTTATAAAAATGTGGGCTCTTATAAAAAAGTACGGTTTTAAAAATAATAGAAGAGGGTTCAAGCTTCTCTAGCCCTGCCATCAATGCAGGACAACCGAAATCCTGTTGTCTGTAAACAAAACTCAATTTAGAAACTGGAAGCAAACATGGAACCCTATTTACAGAATGAAGGTGTTCAGTAATTATCATATTGAGAAGGTGTCGGTGTTTTATCAATATTTGCCGGTTTGGCAGATTAAATAACCTGCCAACAAACAAATATATCCCTTTTAGTTTGATAATGAAATGATCCTTTTAGTTTGGCGAAGGTAAGAATCGGAACATTCTCCATCCCTTTTTCAAATGTTTATTTTGGTCCAAATGATTCATAAATAAACGTTTATTACAGGTAACACCTTATTCACAAATAAAAAAAGTTATTCAACGTTTGGAAATTGAAACGTGCAAATGGAAATGATTGAAATATTCTCTGATCAAATTTCTCGGCAAGATTTCAGTTTGGAAAAACGGTTATGGAATTTTACGATAAACAGTTTTTCGTAACACCGGAGTTTTATTCGTGACATTAAATACAAGGAAGTTCAGAATAATTCCGTTATTAAAATTTTTTCACTATTTCTTGCTTTCAGGACTGAAACTTTGTCAAAATAATCGAGTTGTTTTTAAGTATTTAGCATGAGTGTTTAGAATTACCCGTGTTCATTTTCAACGATAAGTGACAATGTGATGAAACAGTCAGGGGCGGATCCAGAGAAAATTTGAAAGAGGGGCAGTTGGTAGTGGGGGCGCTGAAAATTTTTCAGAAATTGATGATAAGTGTACGCTGTATTCATTTTGTAAAGAAATTTTTCACAATAATGTTGTATACTTTGAGAAAATCTTTAAAGTAAATTAACCTAGAGGTCTCAGAAACTTTTTCACCTGCTTCTCATTCTTCAAAAATGGCGCAAAATTTCCAAAAAAGGGACGCAAGAGTTGCCCCCTCCTTAAATCCGCCACTGGAAACAATTGAATAACGAATACTTTATTCTGTAGTTCGTGCGATAGAAAAAAATTGTACCGAACTTGCATGAGTTTTTTGAGGAACAAAGTACTATTTCTTAAAAACCACTTACTTCGTATGTACTTCTTTGTTACTGTACTGTATTGTTCTGTACTGTATAATTCTGTAATGCTTTGTATTGTACTGTATTGTACTGTATGCATTGTACTGTTTGTATTGTACTGTTTGTATTGTATTGTATTGTATTGTATTGTATTGTATTGTATTGTATTGTTTTGTATTGTATTTCATTGCATTGTATTGTATTTTAATGGATTTTATTGTATTGTATATCATTGTAATGTATTGTATTCATTGTATTGTATTGTATTGTATTGTATTGTATTGTAATGGATTTCATTGTATTGTTATGTATTGTATTGTACTGTTATGTCCTGTATTGTACTGTAGTGTCCTGCAATGCACTGTACTATGCGACACGCTGTATTGTTTTTCACTATGCAGTATGCTATACTATGCGATATGTTGCATTAAATCGTACCGCAGGATATTTTGTATTTTATTGCACTGGGTAATATGTTACATTTCATTGCACTGTTCTTTATGATATTTTTAATATTAGTCGATAGATCCTAACATCAAGCAATTTCATGGATGATATAAGGCAGTAAGATATAAAAAGGCAATAGAAATTTTGATAGGAAACGGGTTTTCATTTAAAGGGCAAAGGCCAGAGAAGGGTTATCTTCTACTTGAAAATTCCCAAAATTTTCCAAAGAAAAGCAATGAAAGCATTTCTTGTCCTCTATCGTTAACCGTAGGACTGCTATGGTTTCTTCTTCAGATGTAGGCCTGTGGACATTGCATAATGTCCAAACGCGAGCTAGGGCAGTATTTTCGAAATATTTTCGGCAAAAAAATAGGAACAACGCGACAGCTCGTGTGATGGGGGCATTTTCCAGCTGCTTTGGTAAATAAGCGGACCAAGGTTTGCGTGAAAAGCGGCACTTATTCTCTTGTTACAGTTGTCTGGTTTTGTTTAAACAATGGTCACTAGCAGCTATCAAAACGACATCAGTGTACCCGATAAAAATTTTTTTGAACAAAAGCCGGAGGAACAAAGGGGCACCTGTCTCTTAAATTGCAAGCGTATGCACACAAAGTGAGCCTTGTTAAGACTTTCTCTGATAAGGATGCACCAGAGAAAATTCAAAGAGGGTGAGCATTTTAGAAATTATCGCTAAGAGTCACGTTTGACCACAAACAATTGGGGACAAACCTTCTGCTTAGTGCAATGAGGACTTCTAAACATAATTCAAATGGCGAGGTGGTGCATATTCGGAATGGAACTTCGTTTAAAATTTTGTAAGCTCTTAAAGGAAGGAGTCCATATGCAATAAACAGCAGTCCTTGGTGCATAAAATCGTCTTGTGATTGTTTAATTATGCTTGCTCGTCTTCTATCCAACGAAAATATGTTCCATATTATTAGTTACAGCATGGCCACTGAACCAGGAATATATAAAATTCTGATTTTACTTATACTCAGACGTCTACTAAAATTGAGAGATAGAGACTGATGGATACAATTTTACTTTTGAAGAAAAATAATTTCAAAAAAGGAAATATCATTAAACATTGGGGTTGATCGGGCGTTTGGGATAAGAAAAATAAAGAAATGCATTCTTCACAGTATCAGAAATTTTGTTATAAGAACCAATAAATTTAAGTTCAGGCTGACTGTTCTTAATTTTTTTCGAAAATCTGAGGCTGGATTGTTCTTAATTTGTTCTTAAATTAAGAGGGTGCCATTGCTAGCTCTTTCGCTCTAAGGACAAATTTGAATATTCACCGAAAAAGCACCCACACATCGCTAAAAATCCTCGATTTTGAGAAAAAACGTTGTTCAAAATTGCAATTTGCAGAAGCCCAGCCTCAGCTTGTTCTTAATTGGTTCTTAACTTTTGACCAGTTTTGAGGCTCGTGTTCTTATCAAATTGTTCTTTAAAAAAAGAGTGCATGTAGTTCAAAACCAGTCCAATAGGACTCCAATCCTTAATTTGCTGCCCTTAATTCCAAGTTCAGAGGGAGGCCATTCCAACTGGATGGGATGAAACTCGTTTATATGCCAAAACGCTTGCGAAAACGCCTTTGCTGACTTCCATTCATTTCGCTGCTCTTAAAATTACGCCAAACCTCCAAGATCTGGAGCTTTTGTTCCTTTCAATACGTGTTTATGCCTAGGGACTTGGCTACAGTTACAAATAATAGTTTCAGATATTTCCAAAAAGGCCAGGCACGTTCAACGGACAAAGAATTATCGGTCTGGTTTGTATACTTATCGGTACTAATTGGTCTCTTAAAGAAAGATTAATGATATTAAATAAGCTTCAATTAGCATTAGTCACAACCGGAATTTCACTGAACCAGCGCCATGAAAAGGGTATCTTAATCTGAGGACCCTCCGGCGTTATGTTAAAATTTATATCTAGTTACATTCAACTAAGTCGAAATGCCAGGGGTACACTGTCGGCGTTTTCTAGTTTAAGTAAATAATCCTATTTGGATTATTTGACTTATCAAGATGTCACATTAAGAATGATAACTGAGAAAGCATCCCTAAAAAGTATCATTTGCAGATTATTTCAAGGGAAACTTGCGTTCTTGACGTATGCTCTCCTCTTTCTCAAAAAGGATCAGCGTATTGTTAATCAATACGGTTATTAGTTGGATAATTTGGGCCGTTTTCTTCTATCAAGAGATGCCGCGACCAATGGTGAATAAAGTGAGTCCTCAATATAGCGGCCATCAAAGCTACTGTCCGTTTTACTATTGTTCGGTCCGTTGTCTGTTTAAGGTGGTTAGTTAGACAAGGCTCTATCATTAGAGATGTCTGAGACGAACTTTATCTTGAGCTGTCTGTAAATGAAAGTTTTAACGATGATCTTTCGAAAACTAATATAGGAAACACAGAGTAAATTTGGCTCTAGCTTCAATTCTACTTGAGAAAACAAAATGAAACTATTCTCGGATTCGAGCAATTTGTATCTTTATATTTGGCAAAAATGGATAACAGAATTGGAACCTTCATGTTGAAATTAGTCTGTGCCAAAAATTTCAAATTGTTTGGGCCGTCAGGCTGCGAATTACCCCATTTTCAAAATTTAGCTTTTCCTATACAATTCAATGGAATTTGTTGCTGTAGTGAAATTTTTTCAATGCAGCAGCAAATTCCGGTCAAATCTAAAGAAATATCTAAATATTCAAAACAAAGTAACTTTGCGACCGAACGGTCCAAACAAAATGAATTTTTCAGTATAGACTAATTTAAGATGACAATTTCAATTCTGAAGTCGATTTTTGAAAAAGATCCGTAGAGAGCGAGATACAAAATTGATGACGTCAACTTGAATCCATCGATAACGGCAACAATATTCTATAGATTTCATTGAGTCGCTATAATCAAGGACCATATTTTTCAGGCAAAATGCAACTTTTGCAATTTCCTACATTACGTTGCCACTGAAGGTTAGAACCCCGCCTCCCTTGAATCAATGCTGGATTAGCATTTCTATCAGTTGTGCATCAAAAATTCAACATTGACTCTGGGGAAAGGGGAAGGTTACTTTGAAAGGAAAGAGAGAACACCAACCTTGCTGGACAAGTCTAAATCCGGGATTATAAGTACTGTCTAGAGAGCTGTAGCCTACCTGTGAGTTGACCACTCGCAGCTAAACACAAAGATTTGAAGATCAATACGTCCGGAAAAAGCAACCTATGCAAAAAGGTAAGCTGGGCTTCAAGGTCATGCAAAGCATTTACCAAAAAACCAGGCTCAAGAAGAACAGCCTCAATGTGACGCCCGTATGTCAACGATTCAAAGAGAGGTCATGTCTATTGATCTGCTTAATGCGAAACCCCTTTTAGAATGTCTTCACCGCAATTTAAAACTGTTTGTGGCAACTCCCCCTGTTAAATATGAAAGTAACGACGGTCACTTTGAAACTACATTAGGTCACAACTCAGTTAATCTCCCATGTACACAGCGAAAGGCGGGATGTAAAGCCTGCGGTTGAGTCAAACTTTGTACAATTTTATCATAATTATCATGGCTAAATAACCAGACCGATAAAGCAAAGCCCTTGGACAAAAAAAATTCAATAACAGCAAAATGCACTTCTCTTTTCTATGGGCAGCTCCGTTTTGGCAAAAATGAGAAAAATTGGCGAATATTCTTGAAAATTGGAACATTGGCTAAATAAAATGACTCCAAATAGTTACGAAAGGTCAAATTGCAATAAAGGGACATGTTCTTACAATTACAGAAGAGAATTAGAAACACGATCAACCATCGCCGGCAAATTGAAGAATTCTCCTGAAAGTTTTACGAAGGGCAATTCAGGCTGGTAAATAGCGTACGAGATATCCAAGAATTTCCAGGTATTTTAAGATAAAACAATAGGATTTCAACAGAAGGTGTATGTGATTTTCATCAAGTGAGTTACCCCTCGGAAACGTTAACTGTTTGAAGATTATTTTTGAGTCTCTTAAACAAGACAGAGTTTTCAGGATTCTTTAGAAATACTTTTTGGAAAAACCTCCTCCAGGACCGTTCGTCTTGGGGGTCTGGAGGGCGAGGTGCAATTATTCTACCCTTCCTACGGCATAGTCTTCTTAAAGAACTACCGCGTCTCAACGATGCACTGACACCTCATTACGCTTTTGTGAGGTTAGTGGGTCAATGGGATAGAAGATTATTATAATAATGTTTGTCTGTCCGAAGCAGTATGGATTGAGCAATAATCAGCCATATTTTAAAGACACTAATGAAACAAAATGACACAAGAACCAGCCGATTTTTGAATGATCACACATCTATATTGTGAGAAGTAGGGGTAGAAGAGTCGAGCTGCAATGGTGATACAATAACTGAGTAAAGTAGATATGGATTTGAGGGCAAATCTTTTATATCTTGGTCACCATCAAATTAGAACACTCATGATGTACTTCAAAAGATAATAATTAAAATATAAAAAATGCTCTGGTAAATTTTTCGAGCACCGTTTGGGGAATAACCATCATTAAGAAACAACTCTAAAGATTGTTTAGCACAAATTATGATCACCCAGGCTCTGCGGCCATATCTAGATTGTCTTTATTTGATGCTGAAAACCCGGCTCTTTTCGGAAGAAAACGTCAGTTTTCCTTTGACTTAAGGGAATTTGATTAACTTTGATTTTCTCTAAATTCTCTGGAGTAAAAAATACCGAAAGTGTCTTTCAAAGCAGATAAGATGAGAATTTCACATACCGTCCTTCAATGAGCGACCACACAGGTATAAAATTCAGATCCAACACACATTTATTCTCACGAAAACGTTATTTTAAAGTTATCAGCTCACTTTGTCAATAAAATAAGACAGATGCACTGGCCTCGTTTGAATGTTTATGACCTCGTTTTAAATTGCCGCCTCGTAAACCATATCAGTGAACCTATCGAACATAGTTGATTCTCTGATAATGCTGAAACAGCTATAAAAAGAGTTTCATTGCGGTTTCCAACCAACGGAAGAAGCCAATACGTCCCATTTTGCAAACCGTTTATTTCAACAACCACAACCACATCGAAAAATAGGTAACTAATGTTTTGACCAAGAAAAGCAAGCTAAAATTAGCAAATTACAATACACGAATTGATAAACAAACGATGAATGCTGATGATATAGGGTTCAAATGAAAAATATTCACAAAGGTTATTCAAGGCACTTTTTCTAACTGCTATAGCAACGGGCTCACGACAGCTGCGCAGCAGCTAGGCCTGGGGTATTTTATCGTAAACCGGGCGATAAAATAGAAAGTAAATATATAAAATTACGCAGCTAATGAATTCTCTGCATATCTTGCTTCGAAGCTTGAACTCTCTCAGGCGCAAATCAATCAGCAAAAACTGAAAGAGGGGGCAACCTCGTTTTAGCATTTCTCTGAGGTAAGCCTCGTTAGACAAGAATGACGTAGAAAATTTAAGAAAGACGGGTGGTAGCAACTACAGGGTTTCCTGTCATTGTTGGTCGATATAAAAGGAGAGTAATTTCATTGAGACTGGGCAGTTACAAACGTCTAGCAAGCAGTGCTTACCAGGAGCTAAACGGCAGAGTAACAAGCAGCCACAGTATCGTCCCTCAAAGAGGCATTGGAGGTTGTGCCATTAGGACCTTACAGGCTTGTGTTACAAATTGAGATATCAAGACGATCAATACCAGGGCAAACCAGCGTGGTCTTAAAGCAGAGCTCGGAGTCGAAATTTGTTGACGGAAAGAAGAACAGCACCTGGCGCAAGTATGCCCCGCTCACTTCTTGCACTGAAAGACCGGTATGAAAGAAAAAAGATTGAAAATGTCTCTTCAGACGACCAAGAGGAACAAGAAGTTGATGTCGAAGGTGAGGCGTTTTTCTATCATCCCATACTTTGAGACCTCTAAGGAAATGAAACTGCCAAAACGTGTGTTGTTGATAATTAACATTATGCAGACATAAAATGGCCAATGAAGATCTCAAAGTGATTAAGCGCGCTTTTCTATCAAAATAAAAAAAATAAAAAGCGACCTCCACTTTCAGAATAAGCGACGTCTAATTTCTGAATTAGCGATTTCTAAATTGAACATTCCATTAGAAATAAAGAAAAATTTAGTCAAAAGTTCCCAAATTCCGTATCAGTAACTGCATTCACGAAAATCAAATGCTGGAACTTTAGCAACAAAATATTAATAAATATCAAACATTTTGATGATTCGATCGACCCTAAGATGTCCATTGAGCCACCACACTCCTTGACATGGTGGGAATTTCATGATAATTAAAGCTCGTTAAGAAAATGGGCCAGTAAGCACACAAACAAATTTAGTCCTTTCTTTTTTGTGCTAAATACGCTAAAAACGTAGACACTAAACCTTTATGAAAATACGAACAAACTGTGTAGAATGGTCGAAAACAGTCCAACTTTTTACTTTTTATATGTCCCAATTTCGTGTATCAAGGCCAAAGTATTCAATGATAAATTCAGTGATCTGTGTGCATACCATTTTGACTTAGTTTTGTGGATTGTTACCATAAGATCTTCGGTGAAAAACTTGCCTTGAAATTAACTGAAACTTAAATGAAAATATCAAGGGGCCTATGAATCTATCCACGCCATTCTTTCGTTCGAATTTTCAGTTTCTTTCAACAATTTCTTCCCTGATTACTTTATTTTTCAAATTTTCCTCTTGCTTGTATTCTATTAGACAGATTTATTCAATGGCCTGCTTCTTTTTTTGATTTAACGCTTTTGATAAGAAGTACCAAACCAAATGCATTGCCGATATGTTCTCAAAAGATCGACAATCAAAATATCCCACGATTGAAATTCAAACGTATCTATCTTAACCCTTGTTATCTATCCCATTTCAATCTTATACAACTTTGCCAGAGCCTTTTGAACAGCCAAATGTTGTCAGCCTAAAAGCACACCATCATTATTAAAGCTGCTTTATCCCTTAAATTGTGACACGTGTATTTCGAAGAGGATCGAACACCACCTATCAAATAAAGACTAAAAAAGTTTACCAGCCTTGGCTTTGCAATTAGTTGCATTAGTATTCACACTAATGATCAGTATAAGCTTCCTCTTTGATATTTAATATGTCACTATTTCACGAACAATACAGGTGCCTTATCAAGCAGAATGGTGTCGAATACATGTGATAAAACGTCATATGCTTGCGAATAGTGGATGTCCTTGCATTCATGTGTGTTCAAAAGGTCCATTTTGAAGGTTGAGACACAGTACTCATCGTTTACTGGGTCAAGAAAGGACAGCAGCAAGCTAAATAACATCCATTCAATCTACTAGTGCAAACATACTTCAGAATGGGAATAAGAGCCAACTCAAAAGAATGATTGCCATATCTAAAAGCTGCCACCTTGATCAAAGTACACCACAAAGCTAAAAGCTTTTCTTAAACAAACAATAAGACACAAGGGCAATGATATCGAAAAACAAAGATCAGTGCCAATTAAAAAGATAACGTCGGTTTCATGTGAAATTGCCTGAATTATTTGCAAAACAAACAAAAATGCATAAAAGGTGAAAATTATCATTAGCACTTCTGTCACTTTTTGGAATATAAAACTTTATATATAATTGGCTAACTGCAAACCTCAAATAGTGAATAATTCAAAATTGCCTGATGATTGCATTGATTAAGCTGAAAACTCAGAGTTACAACCTTGAACCGTCCTGTTTTGATATGCGCAAATGCACATTTGATATCGGACCAGTAAATAACATTTTCAAGAAATATAACTGAAATAAAGTTGTAATTAAATTCATATCTAAATGAAATGAGACAAAATAAAAACAATATTATAAAATAAAATCTCGAAACACATCTAGCTAAAAAATTACACTACAAAATAGAATATGATGTAATGTAATATAGTTTAACATAATAAAACATAATATAACATAATATAACATAATATAATATGATATAATATAAAATAAGATATATAATATAATATAATATAATATAAAAAAAATAATATAATATAATATGATGAAAGAAAATATCAATAAAAATATAAATTAATATTATAAAACAGTACAATATTAGTAAGATCCTTTAATTTCTTACAACCCTCCGTATTCTCTAGTTACGAGACTGGAGACCAATGACTCACTTGTGGTACTGTGGACATTTTTCATGAATCAAATATAAAAATTTTTCATCAATATATTGCGGCCACTCTATCTAAAACACTTGACACTCAGAACCATTGGCGCTTTAGAAAGGTATAGCGGATATCTTCTAACCATTGTTTTGAAGATAGAATAAATACTCCTAAAAAGCACAAATTTCACTAGAAAATTCCAATACTCAATGTGTTTTAAACCCTTAGCTCAAAGTAGACACGATCGAGAATTGGTTGTACTTTGCCCAAATTAGGCCTCAACTTTGAGATTTCGTTGAGCATACCAACTGAAATATGAAATGTAACCAGTCTAGAGATCTTCAAAAGGCAAATAAAACAAATTGCGATTCCATGCACCTGCAAATTATGCACCCAGTATATACCAAATTTAGGATACATCATATAGATTATATAGCTCATCTTAGTTTACGACTTAATATATAAATATATTTCTTTATCTTCTTGCTGTGTTAGTTGGTATTAATTAGCTTATCATAATTTATTATAATTAAGCTAGAATTTTTATCCAACTTTGAATAAAGTATCGAAAAACCTGTTTTTGAACAGAAGATTATTACGGTTGACATTATTCCAAATATGCACTTAGACAAAGTTTTGAGTATTGAGCTTACGATAAACGATAGATAAAAGAAGCTGAGAAGGTGCTTTATTTGAAATAAACATAACAAGCACTTAAACGGTGCTGTGGGTTTAATGGATTATGTAGAACTACTAGGTGAACATTGGACTCAAAAAACGGAAGAAATTAAAACGGGAAGTACCAAACGATAACTCGCCGCCACAGCAAACAAGCAATGGCTACGCCCAACACTTTCGTGCAATACGTCATCAAAGTGAAAGTTTGAAAGGTCTAGAAATTTGTTTAGAAACATTGTAGTAACAGTTTGTGATGTGTATTCACTCGCAGGTTTTCTTTTCAAGGCTAGATGTGCAATCTGATATGAAGTCCTTCTCTTGGAAACTGAATTTTATCAACTTTTTGTGTCTGAAAGTTATCTTCAAATTCTTGGAATTATGAAATTTCTATGGAATGAGTAACAAGAAAACATCCTCTCAAAAGCTTTGTCTAGGGATCCCAATCTAAATCTTTTAGTTAACAGAGCTGAAGCCCCGGTGTTGAAATTTCGCACCCTCGAAGCCCCTAGTTCAATGTTAATATATTTGTCTCTGAAATACGGAAGCTCTAAGCTGTAACTTGAACAGGTATTTGAAGGGAGTGCCGCATATTTATGCTAACAGTTGTGTGTTTTGGTATTTGTCTTCAAAACTTTGCCCAGGATAGAACTCTAGGAACGAAACATCGAGTAGACACGATGTTTCTGTCTAAACTTTTACTCTGACCTCAGTTAACTTCTGCAAAGGTGATTACCGTATAAATTTCTAAGATCGAAAGCGAAGGTTTCGCACGTGTTACAAAAGTATTTCTATTTCGATAGGTGACTATGGATGTGAATTCACAAGACATCAGGGTTGTGCAGTTGCAAAAGATGAAGCCAAGATGCCATTACAACATAAAAAAGAGAGCACATTTAACGGCGAAAAAGAAAACTCTTTTGGTGAATCATTTAGAAAAGTCAGAATTATTGGAAATAAAGAGCCTGACAATGACGAGAGAAAATCAGAGGCTGAGAAAAAGAAAGAAAGCCCGGAATCTGGAGGGAATCAGAGCTCCGAAATCTCCTTTAAAACTCCTGTCTCTGCAATTGAACTCGGAACATGGCCCAAGCCAGTTCGCTGTCAAAGCAGAAGAATGACCGTTATCAACAAGTACCATAATCTGCAGTCAAAGCCTTATCGTCCATGGGAATGTGACAATGGAAGAGTGGAACGACATCCAGTCCGTCCAAGAGCATCTCTGCCACGTAACGGGTTCTTTGCAGAGTTTGGACATCTTGGATTCCGAGAACACTGGCGAAGAATGCATCATGGAAAAGCACCTGGCTTCGAGGCAGAGAGAAAATGGATGTATGACCATGGTTTGCCAGCTGTCGATAATGCTGGTTCATTTGGAAGAAACTGGGTACTAAGTGGTGGTATTTACTCTGGATACCTCCCACCGTACCGAGCCGAGCTTCTTTCATACCCACATGAATGCTATTCATGTTCTGCGCCTAGTCGACTTGGCTGCCTAGATGCATCAAAGAAAAGTGCAAGTAGATCCTTTGAAAAGCAAATAGAAATGGCAGCTCAGAAATTTAGACAATCATTCCAAAGTGTAGAACAAGCCGAAGCTCAAAGTACTGGAATGAAACGGCCTCTAATCCAAAATGACCAAGCCACAAGGAAACGAGGCGTCGGCGTTTACTGGCCTGGTACATCAAATGAGAAAGCGGGCATTTCACAGCTCAAGGCCCAGAGAACAGAAAGCACATCCCCAACGTTTGATTGTGTGACTGCTGAGAAAGCCAAGGAAGTGCAAGAGCGACCATACAGCTGCACCATATGTGACAAGAGCTTCAAGCGTAGATCCAGCCTGGCTACGCACAAGTTCATTCATACTGATTTGAAGCCACATGTGTGTGGTGTTTGCAATAAAAGATTTCTGCGAAAATCAGATCTGAAGAAACACGGCCTCATGCATAGTGGAAAGAAGCCCTACCAATGCGAGAAATGTGGGCGCAGATTTAGCCAATCATCGAACATGCTGACGCACCTCCGCAGGCACATGGGGATAAGACCATTCGAGTGTGGGATATGCGGAAGGTCCTTCTTCAGGAAAGTCGATTTGAAAAGGCATGAGGGAAGACATATGGCAAAAAAGCTCAAGACAAAGTCTGATGGAGAATAATTCAAAGAGGTACATATCAAACGATGAAATACTGTTTACATTTCACAAATATATGATTAAAGTAATGCATTGATTTGAAATCAATATGATCTATTTAGACTAACTAGAAGGCTTACTTTGAAAATAAGCATAACTAACTAACTATATAACTGTAATCATACGATAAATCTAGCAACCGTAGAAAAACTCTACCTTAAGTTATCCTTTAAACAAAAGCATTCTTGTTAATTGACAAAATGGTTTATCCAAATGCTGCTAACGTTTGGTATAATGGAATAAATAAGGATACGTTTTAAGCCCTACTTAAATTTCGTTTTAGGAAACATATTTTTTTACTTTTATGGAGCCTTTCTTCTTTCACCCTACATATTAAAGATTGTTGTTTAAGCTGCAAGTTCAACATGAATTTAAAGAGCTTCATATAATGCACATTCATTGGAAATGTCCTTTTTGTAAATATCAGGCAAAATATGATGTTTTTTCAAGAGCACAGACTTCTGAATAATAATTAGTTCTATGAAAGCAGCATTCAAACTCTACTTCACAAGCAATTTTTAAAACATTGTTTAGGCAAAGCCTTGAGATAACATTGTCAAGCAACATTTTGAAACAACGTTTTGAAACAACTTTTTGAGCAACGATTTGAAACAAGTTTTAGGGACGGATTTCAGAGGCAAGGTGTTAGACATTGGTTGGATTTTGGTCCCCTAGAAAATGACAGAAACGTCCAATTTTTCAAAGTCCATTTTAAGCTTCACGATAAAAAAGATAAAAAGGTAAAAACTAAATATTTTGTATCCTCTGAATACTACTGACTACCAAAAGGTCTTTTTACCGAATAAAAGCAAATTTCGCCGAATGACACAAATATTGAGAGATGTCGCACCAACCACAAACGCCCCCTTCCCCTCCTCCCGATAGGTCCGTCCCTGCAACTTTTTGTAGCAAAATTTTTAAAACCTCTTTGTAGCAAGTTTGTTAAATAGCTTATTTTCAGTAACATATTGAAACAATGGCAACGTTTTGAAACAACCTTTTGTAGCAACGATTTGAAACAACTTGTTGAAACAGTTTGAAACAGGACAGTTAACATAACTGATTGATAAGGCATTTTGTCCTAAACGTAGATAGTTTTAAATGTGCATTAAGAGAGTACGCAGTAAAGTTGTATCCTTCGTATAAGAATAGATGTGTTTATATTTTCAGCTAGTATGAGATTAATATGATTTTGATGATCGACTGATGACAAGAGTATTTTGATATTTTGTATTTTTATAGCTATCCGTGATAATTTCAGTGACAAATTTTGTTTGATTTCTGCTTTCAGCATCTTTTCTGTGAACCCTTATATAAACTCAACGGTGTCTCCCATTTTCCATGTTGTTCACTTTAAGGAAGCAAAAAGGAGATAAGTGAAATAGCTTAACAGTACTATGAAAAATCCCCACAGACAATCCAGATAGATCTCTCTGGCATCAGGGATACCAGGGACACTGAGGACACGTGAAGAGGGCTTCCCCTCTAACCCCACGATTCTTGGGAATGAAACAAAATTTATTGTTGAGCTATCAATGGTTCTAGACGTCTAGCAGTTACGTACAAGTACTATGCATGTGCTTGCGAGCTAAGATTTCTTACTACAAAGGAGCCAGACAAAAAGTAGCTACAAAAACATAAAGGGAAGGGGATCAAAGCTGACAGGCCTAGAAAGAGCACAACACGTCTCAACAACAAGCTGCAAGTGATAATGAGTTTGTTACATATTAATGCGCGACTAGATACTTTGTTGATAAAGACTGCATTTGGTAAAAATTCAAATATACTAGATTGTATATACTTAGAATAATCAAATCATTTATTCTAAAGCCTTCTGGGCCCCAAGATCAAGATTTGATAGGTTTCATGAAACAAGGCACTTTTTGAGTTTGCAACCAATGTTCTCTGTTACGCGACCTTTACCAAAGTAACACTGATATTTAGATAAGGTATTACCAGTACTATCGTCGAATACACGAGAGAGGCATTGTGAATGAAGGACCAAGGTTGTCTCATACATTAAACCAACAGTAAACCAAATGATCTATTCCTACTTTTATAATGAATGTGGCTATTTTCATCGAAATGTTTAGTACCTTGCTTACCGAATAATCAATACTGGTACCAAGATGATACAAGACTTAGCAGGGATAATAAAACCTTTCTTTGCATAAAAAAGAAACAAAGGCCTATTGTCTAATATATAGAAACGTCAATTGAGACTCGAGGGGCCTTTGAATCTTGCTTAAACACAAAAATGGCCCTGGTTTCAGCTGCTTTCGGTAGCAGGGAGTACTGAATTCGGCTTTAAATTTATGGTCAGTAATAATTTTACAATGGTTTCACAAAGGGCCTGGTAACATAGAATTTTTCATCCTAGGACTGGAAGTCCAACCCTCCTACCTGTGGTGAGAAATTTCATGATTACTTGTACAGTAATCAAGCGCTTAGAAACTCTGGGTTACCACTATGCCTGTACCACGAGCAAAAAATAAAATTAGGGAACCAGAAAATTAAGTTTTGTTTCCGTCAAAAATATAAATGTTTCTCTGTTTTAGTCATAGATCAAGACCATGGTGCTAAATGCGATTCGGCAAATTGGCGGTAGACCATAATCATTAAAGAGCGGTTGTTAGCAAACGAGAACGGCGTTGACTAAAGTCAGCTAAAAAGGGCCCAAAAAGAGGTATGACTGCAAGAAAAATGGCTGCAAATTCACTGTGTTAAGAAAGAACAATACCGTTTATCTGGCGAAACAAAGTCGCCTCAAAGGAAAAACGAAACCTAGAAGAACGGTTTTGTTGACATTGATGCAACATCCGTATACATTTAGCCACAGCCATGAAAACATGGTGGTCATACGGTCAGAGGAACGATGAAGAAGGCCGTTGCAAACAAAAGAAAGTTTTTGCGGAGCATCCAAACTCCGTTTTACTCTTTTAATTTTCTGGATTCTATATTTACCCCACCACACCCAACCCCACCCCCTCCCAAAGGTGCCATTCAAGACATAGAAATGACCGGGGTAAATCTGCCTTTAAATGACACAACATGAATAATCACTAGCAAAATAAACAAAAAGTCAATTTACAATAACACGATCCTTCAAAAATTAAAGACTGAACATTCCGTACATACAAGAAGTGCACCCAAAATAATTGCACAGAGACCCTTTGTCAAATTTCCTAGAATGCTCCCTCTCAGGTATTCAGCAAAAATGTTCTACGTATGGAAAATCCAACCTAAAACTCGTCTAAAATGTTTCAATATAATTTTTGGTTCCATTTATTCTTCCTTTATTTAAATTATAAGCGTAAGAATTTTTTATGAAAGACCTTTACACGCCAAAAAAATAGCATCTACGCGAAAAGCTATCAAGCCATAGATTAAAATAGAAATCGTTTAGCCAACAATAGTTGTGTTGACAACATTACGTGACCGTAGCGCCTAGTCAATGGACACGTGTAAAATAATGCGCAGAAATGCCCGATGAGAAGTGGCTTTTTTGCTTGACATAAGTGAGCGATTCAGTAAAATTTTGTAGAATGAACTAGTCTTTGGTCAGAATGCCTGCCAAATTACAACCAATCAATTCAAGATTGGTACGCTGGTACAAAAACCTAATGCCTAGGCCTCCTTTAATTTCAACCTCAGTAGAAACAAATCCCAAAATTCGTTTCCTTTTCATTTGCCCACACTGAAGTTCCTTAGCAAAAGCTTCTTTGGGAAATGAGCAAATCATTTTATTTTCTTGTAAATTAATGTCGTCTAAGCGTTCAAGTAAGATAAACAAATTCTTCGGTATCTAGACTTATCCCTTATTTACCTATGGATTTGTTTTGTATTCATATGGAAAAGGAAGCTGGCCCCGCTACAAAATGTCGTCAAGACGAAATGGCGTCCCCACTTGGACCCTTTAATCTCATTATGCGAAAACATAATGAATCTTTTTATCTTGAAAACCGGGATGAGGATTTTCAATATAAACATGCTCGAAGCCCTATCGCTTGAAGATCATCCCGGTAGGTGGGATGAATTTCATCCGATGAACAAGCCCGAATGTGGGAAATTAGTCATCAAAAGAACAATGAAAGAACTTACGTCGTATCTCTTACGAAGTGAAGCGACGAGGCCAGCGATTTGACCAATGATTGTCAGGTCGTGTTGGAGGTCCTCCAGATGCTGTTCAACGTTGATTGCACCAGGTCTTGGGCTGGAAACTAAGAACGATCGGGATAAGAGGAAAGGGAATCATCACCATTACATGTAAGGTGAGAAAAACAAAGCTAATAACAATACTTCTAACAACAGACAATTGCAGACAATGACGTTTTTCAAGTAAATAAAATATCTCTCAGGGTGACAGTGACGTAAGATGATCTTCCAGACGGGGTTGGAGGGTCTAAGTAGTAAATACAAAAGGAATGATGACATTGGTGAAGATAAATTTGGGGGTTATTTCACCTACTGATAGGCGATTTTTCAACAAACTAAGGGTTTTGTGAACCAACGAAGAGTTGCCGACCAACTTATAAAGAATTGGGGGGTGTCATACCCTCTACAACCCCCACTAGCTACGCCTCTGAATGGTAAGAAGTGATAAAACAGCAAGTAGCGTAGCATTGGATTAATTTGAATTTATTTTGAATTTGAAAAGAAATACTTAAAAAATTGTGTATTTCATACGGGGCCTATCCGATATGAAAAGTGATCTGACATGAAATGAATCCAGTATCGTGTGAAGAGGGCCTAATAACTATGTTTCAACTAAATCAGAAACTATGTTTCACGTTATGTGCAATGTATTGTTGTATTGTCATTATAAAAGTAAAATATTATGTATTGCATTACTGTCTATATTAATATGAAAATGATAAAATAACAACAGTATCTTCAAACCAAAGAACAACTCTCAAACACCTGGCAAGACCCTACGTATTTGCACGTTTACCCTCCCATAGAATTGCACGTTTACCCTCCCACATCGGAGTCGAACCCTCCCACGGAATTGCACGATTACCTTCCAGGTATAACTCACTTCCTTAAATAATCTATGCAACAAAGGAATATATTAAAAACAACAAAACTTTTATATATTTACCAGGATGCGTGTATTTGATCGTTGTTGTGTTTTTACTGTCCATGTTAACAAGAATTCCAGAACCAACATCAAGAATATCCACTTCAGCTACGGGGACGCACCACTTCAGCCGGTATCGTTTCTTCCCTATGAGGTTTGCTGCATTTGTCCTAAAGATTTGCATTCAACGTATTAGCGTTCTGTTTGTTTAATTACAGCGTTCACATCATCAGAACAGGTTTCAAAAGAAAAAAAATTGAGTACAACAAACTTGGTGGCTACACGGCTGATGATCAGAGAAAAGACCGTTGAAATAAGGTTTATCAAAACCCATAAATGTTTTCATTATTTCAAAGTTTCTTATTTTCAATGGGGTCAGATCCATAAAGAGGTGCGAAGACTTCTAAAGAATCTGAAACGGAGGCAGTTTCATGGGGTCAGGTTAATAAGGAGGTATAAAACGCTGATAGAATATAAAAGGAGGCCGTTCGTGGGGTTCATATTTAAACAAAACTTAATGGAATTTTTTATAGGGGGCATTTTCAGGGTGTCAGGTATTGCAAGGATACAAACATCGTTTTCTAGAATATAAAAATTTGTATGGGTTCAGAGTAAAATGTGTTCTCAATTATTAAACATGTTCTTTCAAAAATCATTCTAAAACAGTGTAGAAGTTCTGTAACACGAAAATTGGAATGACAAAATGTCCTATTGAAATTGCAACGGAAAAAGGAAAAAGAAATTAAATCACGTATAAGATTCTCGTGGAAAATTTAAAATATATTTCAAAGAATTTATTTGTATCTATCTAGCATCCGAAAGTAGTTTTTAGGGCTCTGAGAAACTTATGTTTATCGACCAGTGTCCTTGTGCTTCCTCTCGATGTGACTACACCTCGTGATTCCTATTCCTGGAATTACAGAGAGCTGGCGACTCTCCTCACCCTGGGTGGCGACTCTCCTCACTCTGGTATTTCAAAGTAAAGCATTAGCAAGGCTTAAAAGTAAAGGAATACTAACTTGTTGATAATGCTTGCACAAATAAGAAGATCAGAAAGTAGAAACAGTCTTTGGTGCTTAGTACGGACAACCTGTCCACCAGCAACTTTCTAGAGGAAGGTGAAAGTCAAGAAAATCAACTTTCTGAAAGAGAAGCATAGGGCATTTATGCAACAAGAGTGCTTGTTTTGCTAATACAAAAACTTTCAAGGATAAACACTGCAAGTAGTTTTTTCGCTACTGAAATCTTGAGAAGGAAAGGAAAACTGACTTTAAATTAGCAGCCTTGACACAAAATAAGCAAAAGTCTTCTTCGTAATTAAGAAAAATGATAACATTAACACTTCTCGATGGAAACATTGAAAATCTAAAATTTTGAATTTCACGGCAGCCCCCAATAAAGCTTTTGCTGGAAAACAAATTGGTCTTTTACTAGTGGACTGTGTTTTTCAACCACTGTACCACAACATACTAATGTGCCGTGAGATATTCTCTGTTGTGCGTGAAAAATTCTCCAATTTTACCTAAGTGGTCTAAAAAAGTGAGAAAAAAATGATCATCCAATAATGTGCCGTGCTGTGTGCTGTGGTGATCAGCAGAGTAATCATTTAAGACTCTTCTATATCTACCTTGAGGACGAGTCTATATTGTGAATATAGGCCGAAGAGTTTCATTTTTTAACATTTTCTGTTATTGGTGTGCCTCGTGATTTTTTCAATAAAAAATTGTGCCGTGGATCAAATAAGGTTGAAATACACTGGACAAAACTGTATATTATATTAAAATAGAATTTTTGCAGTGATTCGTTTTGGCTCCAGCTAGATTGCCTACAAAAAGGCATTGCATCCTTTGTTTGAGAGCTTCAAACTTGATCGATGTGGTTCATGTGCTTTGAAAACCAACTTTTAAATCTACGAGGCAAGTGAATAAATCGAAGGATATTTCACGAAAGATAATCAATCGTTGTTTTTGTTGAAATTCAACCTCCTTGCTTTGATATATTTTTAGGGGATTCGATGTAACAAAGTTTCCAAACTTTTGCTTTGGAGTAAGCTTTTTTAAAGTTTTGTAAAAAAATACAAGTATAAACTGTGATGAAGCAGACTTACGCATAGGATCATATCATCATGTCGTATGTAGTACCTCCGTTCTGAAAACAGTGACTAAATAAAGAGAAGATAGATAATCATTATTATTGTATAACACATTTTTCGTAAATAAATTTACTTAGTGTAACACATGGTTTATAATTGAAATGTCTTTGTTCGCCAAGTTTGTCTTTTGCTAGTTGACAAGCTTTTTTCCATTCGATTTTTTAAATGCCCTTTAGTTTTGATTTTGTTTTCGAGAGCCAAGTTAGTTTTGGGTGGCCTCTTAGTCTTGTATATTCTTCATCCGCGTATGCTAAGGCTAGCTTTGCAGGGGTTTGTTCCGGTAAACAAAGTGCATGTCCTGACCATCTGAGTTGACTTTTTTCGATTATCTTGCTCCATGGAGTTTCATTGGTTTGTTGGTAGACATCGTCATTTTTTCATTATTTTTGGATACAAAATGTTAAAGATGTATGTTCGTAATAGTTTCTAAGGAAGCTATCAATTTTAACTTTAAAAGATTTCATTAATGTCCAGAGTTCTGAGTTGCATAGGAATATGAATGTAACTTAGGTGTTAAAGGCTTCAATTTTTGTGCTGATGTTGATATTTTTATTTCTAAAGATGAACTTCAGTGAATTTCGGTGCAGATTGAATAGCGAGACCTTTACGTCTGGTGGTGTCATTTTCTAGAACACTACCGAGCAGCTTGCAACTTTTCCATTTACATTCGCATACATGGTCACATTTGTATCCTGTGATAGTAAAATTCTCGGTTTTGCTTGTATTTATGGTCAATTTGCGTTTCGGAAGAAATTCTGATAGGTCGTTTTGCTTTTGTTCAATGTAGAAGGTAGAGCATATTAAAAAAACAAGTAACTAACAAGTATTTTGTTACAGCAAACTTTTAAATCAAGTTTACAGGCAAAAGTAGCCAAAAAAGAATGAAAGCCAAAATTGACATCGAGCCAACAAGATCAACTGTGAATGAGATCAACAGTGAATGATTAGGGATATTCAGTTTTAGTTTATTATCTCTAGGTATCGCCTTGAAAAAATGTTCAGGTATACACACCTTGTTGAGCCCTATAAAATACTTATCGAGCTGAGAAACTTTGTATTTCATTTCCATGTCTCTTCTTTTGTCACATATCAACTCAGATAAACATTCAAGGTGTGTCAGTGCCATTTGAAGTGGCAAACGATCTGGATGACTGACTGGTGTAACTTTCAGTAGTTCCTGGAAACAAAAAGGAAGCAAATTTCACGTCAAAGGTAAGAATTTACATCAAGGAAGAAAACTTCTTATCGATCACGGAAAACAGAGTATAAGAAGATTGCCAGTAAATGCCAAGCTTCTAACTGCAGATCATGAAAATTTTTATTTCAAACTCAGGTTTTTTGACTGTGATTTTCTAATTGTAAATTGTGTACATTCTCATCAAATAGCTGGCCTTCGCTATGATTTTAAGCGATGATTAATTTGTCGAACTTAAATAGGAAAAATGAATAATAAAGTACACAGTCCTGAAAATATGGCAGTTGTACAGTCAAAACCCACGATGAAGGTCATTGAAAGCAAATGACATCTAAGAACCAGGCCAAGACCCTGCATGTCTGCTGTTTCAAGGGAAGGTATCGTAGCTTGAGGGTGTTGCCAGAGGAGAGATAGGTAGGTTCAGGAATGAGGAGATTCCAAAGAGCAATGGAAAAGGTCTCCTGAGGTGAAACTACGTAGGACCAAATTAAAAATAAAACGATAAAAATTTCACTGAACAAAAATCTTTGACACCAAGCAGCTTGAAAGTTTTCTTGTCTGCAGGAAAGTAAATCCATCTCATAAAAAATATATTCTAAAAAGCTCAAACATCAAGAAATTTATAATCTAAAAAGCTTGTAATCAGTTTCAGGAAAAATCCTGTTCTTTTAATAACTTTTTCTATGATGGGGTGATTGAATTTTTGTTTAGAAATAGAATTGAAGAATATGATAGGCAGGAGAAGATTGGTTTACTTCATATCGAGCTTATGGAACCTTGTTGTAAGCATGGAAATTTTCATCTCTGCACTTGCTTGGAAATGAAGGGGCAGAAAACTTCAGATCAAGTTTCCAGGGATTTCCTATGTGAGTTTAAAGCGTTTTTAAAGGATTATTTGCAGAGTTTTTCAGTGTGTTAGCAGACAAAAATCAACTCATACAAGCCATATAATACTGCGTGTAAACCATTTCAAATCAACGAGACGACAGTGTCTTATGAAATAATATCGTTTTCATCACACTAATCTTGAATAATGTTTAGAATTTCTTAAATGTCAGCATTTCATTTTCTGCTTTAAAGATGTTCTCTTCACTATAGAAATTTATTTTTTTCCTAATATCATTGTCTTTTTAATAACTGGCTATTTGTGTTTACATAAAGCTGAAAACCATAGCTCTAATTAACAAAAATGGGACCTTGCCATAGAGCTTTCTAGCAACACTTCTCTAATTAACTTGTCAAAGTATACTTGCCTGGAGAAGGACTACAAGTTGGGGGAATCTTCCGAGAGGCCTTTTGAGAAGATCATAGAACGTGTACTTATACAATGATCGCTTCAACCGAGCCTACAAGAAAAAGTCATTACTTAAATTTCGTTTACATAAGGTAACACATATCATTGTGTTTTACCATTGGCAAAATCCTTTAGAGAGATTGATGCTAAAATAGGTGGTACAAGTATTACTAAACTGTTGTAGCCTTTTGCAAAAACTTCTACTGGACATATTTACTTTGGTGCGTGGAAGACAAAAGTTTGCGATCGCAAAAATCTAGCATTGACCAGACGCAGGATGTTCTCTACGAATTCAGTAAGAGACCTAATAAATATCGTTTGACTAAGTAAGAAAATCCCATTACAACATAAATATCAAACGCCTCTTGTTTATCGGATACAGCTGTTGAAGATCTGAGAGGCAACGTAGCAACGATATGCCAGTTGTCCGGGAAATCATTTCATCGTTCAAAGTGAAACAAAATTAAACCACAGCTTCTCGAATTAAAGTCTTAGCCGTTTTACTGTAGATTTCAAGAAAACAGGTAGGTAGTACATTAAACTAAATTTGCAGAGCAAACTAAAAACAACTTTCTCAAGCTATGCATTCATGTTTTGTTTCTACAGAACCTTCATTCTGCTACAATCACTGCCAAAAGTCTTGGAACACTAACGTAGGTTTTCAGAGGCAAATTCAGCCATCCCCCTCTCCCCCTAGGAACAATGTGGATTTACTATAGAAAAAAGAAAGGGGTTATGGAGTACGCTTTTTCTTGTGGATTGTTTGGTATTTTTCTATACTTTCAACATTGTTTTGGGGGGAAAGGGGGGTGGAAGTGGTAGTTTTCAAGAAAACAAACGAAAATTAGAAAAGCACAGCCAAAAGTGTTAGGTGTTCCAAGTAATTTTGGCAGTGATTGTAGCAATAGACCGTAGTCACACAAGCTCTGATAAGAATAATACTGTCCAGTGGAGTAACTTACCCTTAAAAAAGACAAAAAGGCAGGCACCATCTTGCATGTTTCCTTGACTCGATCCATGGCAGAAGTAAAATTATCGACGTAGCTTGTGTAAGCCTTCAGCACCATTGACTTTGAAAACTAGAATATTGCAGAAAGCTTTAGAAACATCAAGATAAACAGTAAAAGGCAAGACATTTTCGTTGCAGTTGTGCTAACTTTATTTCAAAACATGTATTAGATACAGCGAACAGACTAACCCCGCGCATGAGAACTGAAATGAAATTCGAAATACATTTACGACGGCCTTTATGATAAAATATAAAAGTAATAAAAATTGGTTTTAAGAACACTGTTACTAGGAACACACCAAAATACCTGACAGATTCGTCTCTCAAATGTAAACGAACAAATCAGAGAGTATTCTTGTGCCCTATTAGCATTTTATATCACCACATTGAAATTGAACTTGGAAGCCCTGTTTGAATCACGTTAGTTTAAATCGAATTCAACCGAGTTGAGAGAGCCAAAATAAATGTGTGTAGGTAGTGTAAACATAACCATGGGTATAGCCCATCTTTTGAGGTTAAGCTCTTCATGGCTCACTTTCACGAAAAACATTTAATGGCTGAACCTGGATTTGTTTTAAGTCACGCATGTGTACGCATATACAATTCTCTCTATGCCTAAATGTACGCATCAAGTATTATTAGTACAACCAATTTTCTCGTTTACACGACTGCCATTATCTGGTTTTCTATAAAGGCAACTTAACCTGAGTTAAAACTGAGTTCCTTCTTGGTAGTTTAAACGGGATGGGAATTCGCCAGAAAAGAAGGTTAAAGAGAGATGAGAAGGCAGAAACAGAATGTACAGGTGTAGCGAACACACGTTGGAAGAGTTACTTTCCTTTCCTTAAAAAGGGTCCGTTATATTGAGGTACTTTTACCAGGGCCTAGATGGTGGGGAAGAGATTTTGGATTTTGTTTGATCTTATCTGTATACAGGGTATCATTATGGGGATCAATAAATGTATTAGATTGCGTATCACACAATATCATGTAAAATATTACTTTGAATTTAGAATAAAATTGTACAAGGAGAGAAAGAGCTAAATATTTTAACTTTCTTTGTGTGAGTCTAAAATTTCTTTTACGTGTGGAGAATATTTGCTGATGAAGAAAACCGTATGGCTCCAAATGACTCTCATAGCCTTGGTGAGTTGCGTCTAACACGATGACTCATCAACATTAAAAATGCTAATGCTAGAAACAGTTCTTGCCTGTATCCTATCATTCCTTTTTTAAGCCATGCATACTGTCTAATGCCCGCTGATTTGTTCTAGCCATAAACACAATTCAAAATTCAAACGACCTCCCTTACCGACGCGTATATTATGTCTCCGATCGTAGGATTTTGACTCCACTCTGCCATTCTGCCCGCCAATGCAATATTGAATAACTGATGACATTGCGCAATTTCTTGAAGATGCATGAAAATAACTTTTATGCTGTCTGGAGTGATGACTTTGTTTAATAACAACGGCTTTTCATAATCCTGAAAAAGATGACATAATGTGAGGTTTTTCATTAAAAGGCATGTTCGAGTTTCTAGAAATGCAAAGCGAGTCAATAATTTTCTAAGCGCAGAAATATGAGCAAATTTATAAAAGCAAGATATCAAAACCTAACATATCCAATAACATCATTAAAAAGAATTTAATAACGAACTAATGAACTAATAAATAACGCTGGTGCGGAGCAGGAATGATTGGTGCAAAGCAGGAATGAGAGAATCCCTAGGTCATCCTGTCTGTATCATCCTAATGAAGTCCAAACAACATCAAATCAAGAAAACATATCTTAGATTTCCTACGCTCTGTGAAAAAATGAACTTATTCTTGTTGAAAATTTGAAAAAGAACCACTTTCAGTATTCAATATTCCGGCTTAGATGTATATTTTTTGAAAAACAATTCCATTATAATACAGAGATATAACCTAATTCAGATACAACAAAGAACTACATTTGACATAAGCAAGTGCAAAATTAATGAAAAGTAGTGAGAATTCAATTTAATTCAGCCATCACAACACAGGGACAAGAAAAGATATTCCTCCGTTTCATCTCCAGTGCAGTCAGTTTAAATTTAATATAACAAGAAATTGAATATTTACAACATTATTTAAGGTACTGACATTACATCACAAGACGATACCATAATGGGTGTGTACAAGAACATCTCCTCTGTTGCAAACAAGAATTTTGCGTACAGAGAATTTCAGCGTACGCAGGTTTATCAAACACTAAGCTCAACAGTTTAACAAACAATAAATAAGAAAAACGATGTACATGTGTTTACTCTTAAAATGTTCAGTTATAATTTTTCTTTTGATTTTACATTTATTCACACTTTTACAACTTTATTTTAAATTAATTTGTACTTGAATCGCTTTTTGTTGAATTTCACGCCCATTTCCCAGCAGAAGTTGAAATATACTTGCTTCATTGAGGTCGTTTCGTGGCGTATTAAAGCATTTGAAAGACGGATGATCTGCCTTAGCAGGCACCGCGGAGCGTTAAGCAGAGTGGAGGGGGGGGCTTAAACCCAACAAAAAGTGGCTTGACTGATGATTCATTGGCAAATTTTTTGCATTTTTGGCAAAAATTGGGGGTTATAGCCCCCCAGCCTCTAAGCCCCAACCCAAAGTAAAGTTGATGATCATCAAGAAGAATTTTGTATTTTTTGAAATATAATTTCTGAATTATCGTTGTTTATTTTATGACTGAAATAATTAAAGACATCTCTACAAGGATATGTGTTCAGGCTTCTGGATGAATTTCAAAGTGATCGATTTTTTCGACAAAGAATTGCGTTTTTATATTAATTAAAAAGAATCGAATGTTTTAAGTCTACACGAGGAGGATGCATTTGAAATCGTTGCATTATCAATGCTTTTCACACCTAGGGGGTCCTTTCAAATTTTGCGCTTTCAGACATATATTTTTATTGTTTAACGTAAACGGAAGCTAAAAACGTGGAGGTTTTATTCCACTTTCATTTGAAAATTTTCTCAGACGTGGCTAAAATGTACTTGGATGAAAATGATATGCAGATTCTCTAAAAGCTAGAGATGTTCTGTCGAGCAACTTCTTGGAGCAGGTCTAGTCAAAGATAACTGAAAATTAGCTACCAACTTTTGATATATCTGCTGGTTATCTTGTAATGATAGAGAAGTTATCTGGAATCCAAGGAACTTTGATGCTCCATGGAATGAGCAGAAAAGGGTTGAGAATATTAAGAGAACAGTGATAAACACAGACGTGACAAATAAATCTTAACGAAAGAAACGCACCTGAATAAGATTATTCACAGTTGAAAGATACATTTTCTCGTTTTCCAAGATGTACTTGATGATCTGATATCTCTTTATCTGCAACGAAAGAAACACATTGTTTTTCTTGTTGCCCAGTAGTAATACCGGAGAAGTGATTTTATGATTAAAATGGTTAATATGTAAGAAGGAAGCTACGCTGGATTGGATAAGTTTTCTGCCGGATTCTGTGAATCTTGCAATGGGTTTTGATAAAAGTATAGACAAGAAGTATTTAAAAATTCATTTACTCATCCGTTATATTTACTCTGATGAAGCCCAGTATGCAGGGATCAAATATCAGTTGTGCATCTTAATTTAGTTTAAAAATCGGTTTTTCAACCTATTCCATTCTCGTTGTGGTTTTTCTAAGTTCATGTCTATGACATGAAATGGTTTCGTTGTACTTTATAATATATTGAGAATCGAACATGCCACACAGAACCCCCAAAGTGCACCCAAGTATACAGACATCAGGAAAAAAAAAGGAGCCGCACCGTTAGCAATAATTGGTGCAAAATAGAAAATAGAGGATCCTTTGGTTCTCTTGAATCATCCTAGTGAGCTCAAAACCCAAAACAAATTCACTTTATTCCACCCTATCACATATAAACAAACTTACATCGTCCTCGCTTGCAAACTCATCCAAAGGAGGCAAAGAAGGTTTGGGTACATCATCTCCATCAAAAATGATATCCACGTAAGGTACGGCTTCTAAACAAGATATCATGATCTATGTTAGAGGTATCGTTTATTCTAATAGCCTCGTATGCTTTCAGTGGTGACCTGTGATAATATTTTGATGTTTCTAGACAATAATTGTATTGGTACCGAATTCGATTGTCCAAAGTATGTTAATATTAGGAGCAATAAGTTGATCTAGCAACCGAAAACAATATTCCTATTATTCAATTTTAAGACATCCTAAATCTTTGAAGGAAACACGACAGCATGCAATCAAGCAAAATTACTTTTACCAAGAATTGCATGTAAATTTTCTCAAAGTTTTATAAAAAATTTCAGTTTAATTCTACCCTGTCTTTAGGAATTCTATAGAAATCCTTCAGAACTAAAGAACGTGAATGCAACTTTGGTTAAATAAGGGCATATTTAAAGTGAATAAAATGAAATTCCATGGTAAAACATGTAAATGAGACGAAACACCTCTTCGTAAAAAGGTTCGAAAAAATTCAGAAATAATTGAGTTATTTCACTTCGTCAAATTAAATGTGAATTTCAAAGTGACCCCTTTCTTGACAAAAATGGGATCGATTTAATTTTCTTCAGGCAGAAATCGATATCTGTTCCTTGCTGTAACAAATAGACACCCCAGTCTCGCAATTCGAGTTTGCTTTCATTTGGAACCGATTTGGAAGGAACCGCAGCAGGAATCTTGGACCTGTCTACAGAAAATAATGTCTCAGTTATTGAGCAAGCTAGTTTAAGCAAATCAATCCCACCTTCATCTGTCACATTGAAAGATCCGGATTCGTCTGGGACCGGAGGAAGAGGTTTAGATGGAGCTGGTGGAACATGCTTTTTAGCAAAGCTTGGTGGCGTCCGTAATGCTTGGGCAGTTTTGGCTCTAACAGCAGTAAGTGCTTCATACACCGAGTTCCTCTAGAATAGAAAAATAAAAATCTTAGGTGAAAATAGCACAAAATGAAAAAGGTGAAGTGGAGTTTCATTATGTGTTTCACTTAAAGCATTTATTTCATTGAAAATTGCTAATCTGATACACAGAGTAAACCTGGCACTTGCAGAAGCGCTGGCAAAATGCTGGGCTAACCTAACCCCAGAGGTTGATCAAATCTTTAAAGACCAATATATATACTGAAGACATATGAAAGTAGCAGCTAGCTTCAGAGAGGGGCAATAATCGTAAAATGTTGCAATAAGATGCAACGCAAATGATGATAAAATGTGTATGCAGAGCATTCATGAGAAACTTAGACAGAAGGGGTGAAAAGGTTCGCTGCCTGAGATTCAGGCACAGGGGCGTCGTGGGGAATGACCAGAAAGAAAAACTTTCCGAAAAACTTGTTTTGATTTATTTTGACCAAATAGAAGCATTTCATGTTAGTGTAAGGGGGATTGGACAGAAAAACTCATAAGTTTTACTTTTGCTGGAAATATTTTTCAAATGCACTTTTACTTTCTCTCTGTTTTTATACTTACTGTCAATGTCCCTGACATCTCGCAAGGGCAAAACATTTTATCATCTTAATGCTTCAAGTTCGCTGGAACTTGCATTTTTTTGAGCAAATTTTAATAACAAAATCCTAATCTCAAAATGAATATTCACTGGCGGAAAGCGAAGGTATTCATCGACATATTTCTTGTTCTACCTTATGCAACATAACCGCATAAATTTTCAAATCTGGGACAAAATTTCAGATGTGGTGATAGACACAAATTGGCACTGTCCCGGTCAATGTCAAATACAGATATAATTTATGGCTAAAACTGCAAATTTCAATCAGTTTCAATTTGGCCCTTGAAGATTCGGATTTTAACTGGCGAAATCCGACCAGCAAATCACACTTTGGTAGAAATCGGTTCGGTAAATCCTGAGAAATCATGCTTTTGTGGAAATCTAGTATTATCTATACAAAAGTGAATTGCTTCACTAAAAGGTTCGTTTCACTTTTCTTTTTTACCCACAAGTTTCATTTCACTTCTCCTTTCAAGGTTGAGAATGTTCCGACATAACAATAATTTTTCCGAAAATCTGTCAACTGTTGAAATCAGAGGGGGCCACGACCCCCTGCAACCCCCCAGAGGGCGCGCTCAAAAAATTTTTTGACGCATTAGGCTGTATTGTGAGGATGGCTCATTGGTTAGGGTAACAGACCGCAGATCCAAGGGTTTCGGGGTCGAGGCCAAGGGCCATGACCAAGCTTTCACTAAGAGTATGAAGCCGCCATCACACTATAATCACAAGCATAAGAAGCATAAGATGTTGCTACATCAAGAGGAAGGACCTGGACGCTGCTCGATAAGTAAAGCCTCTCAATTCCTTAAAAATTACTTCTGGAGCCAAGAAGAAACAAAGCGTAAGGTACAAAAGAATAGGTACCAAATTTTCCAGTCAAAGTTGTTTAACTATTCTTAACATCATAACAGCAGAAACCTTAACCTGTTAGACTAGATAACGCTTATTTGCCAGACATGACATCACCAACTCACAGACACAACTGCAGCTAACTTACATTTGAATTAACTTTCTTTGATAGGTCGCCCACAACTTCATAAAGCTCGTTGTCGCTTTCAACCTCATCGTACACAGTAGAAACGCTGCCAAAATCCGACCCCCATTCATCGTCTTCTTCTAAATCCGATTCGCCATTATCACCAACAGGAGAAATAGGCAACACAACGGCACTCATTGGGCGGCTCCTTCCATTTTCTGTAAAATGAAAAATTCAATCTCTACTTACTGTAACATTAGGTTTTTCAGATGAAATCAATATGAGCCACTGAAGTAAGACCTATTAAGTATTGACTTCGAGGAGAAAATCATTCCTTAAAATCTCATACTCCTTAAATGGAAATCCCATTATTTTATCAAAAATTCCCATGAATCCTTTTACTTCGGTAGAAATAGGGTACTTATTTTGCAAGTTTCCATTGCCTCTGGATTGAACCCATAGTATGAGGGATTGCTCTTTCGCAGAATCTACAACTGGCTACGAATATATTACATTGTAATCAGGCGCGACTAATAAGGATTTTAAACAATTAACAAGGATGATAAACGTTCCATGGTTACAATTACGATGGGAAAAATGTTTGCTGGATGTTAAACCGTAAATCGTCGAATTGGCTCCCCCTTTCGAAAAAGCCCCTCCCTCAAAAAAGCCCCCTGGAACAAGCCCTCACCCTAGAACTACAAATTTTCAATAGAAGCCCCCCCCCCCGAATAAGCCCCACTGCTATCCTAAATTCTCAAATTGGCCCCCCTAGATTTGTTGATTGTTGCCATTTTAGGTTGCCTTTGGTGCTTTATTCAATTAACACAAAAATTTATACTTTTGGTAATAATTTATTGAATATTGATAAAGAAATTTCTACTGAAATATACGAGGTCTTTCAATAATGTTTTCTTGATGTCCACTATCATTTTATAAGCCCCTTATCGTATAAGCCCTCCCTCCCTCGAATAGCCCCCATCAAAAAAATAATGAAAAGCCCCCAGGGGGCTAATTCGAGGATTTACGGTATAAGCAGGAGAGTGTTATCTGACCCTAGTCGCCCTGAGATTCGTTTATACAGTCAAAAACTCCTAGCCATGTATAACACGAGACTAATCGAATTGTCTTATCTGGAGTTGTCAGTTCAGCCCCTAATAATACGTACTACGCCGTATCGTATAGAGACACCAATCAGGCATCGAAGAGTTAAACAAAACGTGAAAAGATAGCACAAAACATTTGTGTAAATAACCCACCTTGAGCAGATCCAAACCTCCTTCCATCTTCCACCCAATCAATATCTTTAACTGGACTGCTGTTCAATACTATTTCCCTTGTACCTGTGACGTCATCATTCTCTTCTTGGACGTCATCATACAATGGGGCTTGTGGAGACCCAAGCTGTGAATACACGTGCTCGCTCGATTCATCTTTGCTCTTATCCCTTGGCGTCCATAGTCTGTCGTAGCCATCGCCATTTCCAAGGGAATCACTCTTAGACCTTGCTTTCCTCGGAGGTCTTACGGGCATTGGACTGTCTTCGGAGGCCGAATCGCTTTCTGAAATAACATTGTAATAAAGTTCATAAAACATTTCAATATGAGGTCCAGAACATTCTTTCCTTAAAATCAGAGTTCAGTCAGAAGCAATGGAAGATGACAATGCCAATCAGCAAAGATGAAGCAATTCGCCCTGCACGCAGTTAAACCATCGCTTGCTTAGTGAAATTCTCAGCTACAATGACATTAACTTGAAGTCATCAGCAAGCCAATAATGCAAAAAATACTTGTCTCATTGCCTGAAAGGGAGCTGGCACGGCTTACAACAAAATCAATCAATCCTTTGTGGCATCATATAATAAAATACACGGATAAAGAGGCTATAAAAAGCCTTTTATTGGAAAAGATACAGACAGTTTCGGCATATCGGGCATAATGCATCCTGTAAAAACCAGACCCTAGCGCCAAATGACTCAATGAGCATTCATGACTGCAAGCCAACAGGATACTTTAGCATGAGAGAATAAATGAATTCTCGAAATCAAAACGAATAGAAAGCTTTCCTCTGTTTCCAAACTACTGCGATCTCAAAAGACCCACTCTGGAGGGCGATTTCGATCACAGGACTACCGTTTCCAGCTAGTCGTAGTGGCGTTTCTACGGGGGGGCCAGGGAGCCACGGCTTCCAAGAAATTATTTGCCCCTTGTCCCCCCCCCCCCCCCCCCCCCCCCCCCAATACAGTTTTTTCAAAGTCTTTATTAAGAATTCAATATTTTCTTCGAAAGCTGTTCAATCGTTGTTTGACTTTGTTAGGACTGCTTTCTTTATTTTGCTTAATGCGATCTTTATTGCATTTATTTAACAAGCCAAAGGCCCTGATAAGCGTTTAGGTTTGTAACCGAGGTGAACATTTATGAAATTTTGGCTCCTTTTTGTAGATACCAATAAAAATTCTTTCTTGACAATCATTTAAATCCTATATTTGTTATATATTATTACGAACATACACCTTCGCAGAATCAGCCCAAACCAAGGTTCTCCGCATCCCATTGTAAACTCTTTTCCCCCTGAAACCCAGCGCAGGGAAATGCCAATACCATCCCAGTTTATCTTGTCAATCTACTATTGCTTATCGAAATTCTATTATTTGCAATTCTGTATAAAAGAGTGATTTGCTTGATCGGTTGGATATACGACAAAGCTACTATGGACAAATTTTACCAATCAACTTTACAAAGCTATAAGTCATAGTTATTTTTAGAAGTATACTCTTCTTCTGTTGAAATTCTTATGTTCATTATGCATTTTTGTTAAATAGATAAAACTCAGTGGAGTAACAGAACAAAGTTACTTTTAGTTAAATAAGAAAAGGTCCCGAACCTTTAGGGTTCCCAAACAACAATTTTTCTATGCTTTCTTTGCCCAGAGGAGCCAGCTGCTCGTTACCCCACTAATAAAACTATTTGGTATAGTGATAATGGCCTTAATAGAGCTGTACCAAGGACATGCGCTAAAAATCTGTGCTTGTAGCTAATTTTGAGCCAACACGCTAATGCTTTACATTATACTAGTTCGCAAAGTAATGGCTAGCGTTGGCCCCTATAACGAAAGTTTGGGCCCCGGCTAGGCCCCCCCCCCAGATTTCCAAGGCTAGATTCGCCACTTGCTAGTCGTTTAGTAAAAACCCATGAAGACGCTGTGTTTTTCATTTGGGACTGTTCGCATAGACCAGGCCTAAAACTATTTCACAGTTCGTCCGAATATCATACTTCTATCAGTAGCATGAAAAAACTGCATGTAAAACAGATACTTTCACAAATGAAAATATTTCACACAAGCATTTAGTAGCTCCCCTTTGAAGTTTCTTTCCAAGAATATTACTATCATACATTATTCTTGGAACTCAGTTACCTTTATTCGACAATTTACTGTACTTCCTTGTTGTTCTCTCATAGCCACTATAAAACCCTGGGACACCTTCTTTCATTCCAACTAGACTTGCTCTTATATCTCCTCCTCTCTTAAAGTTCTGCTTACGGACCAATGTAGAGTCATCCGTCCCAATCTTTTCACCTCCAACAACTTCTAAATTGTCTTCAGTATCCACAACATCTTCTGTCCTCCCTTTATCAGGTTGTCTCTTCTCTTTTTGTACAAAGTCCGGGAGATCGTCAGTAAAATCACCTGGAAGAAAAATCTGAACTGGTAGTGGTAATCCAGTGCAATACCAGACACACCCGAGCTAAGTAGCATAAAATGTTGGCAATGGGAGGCTGCATTCTCGGCAGTGGACTTATTTCCAATCTGAAAGAGACATCTGTGTCAAACCAAAAATTCTGACCTGAATAGGGCGAGTACTTTTGGGCGTTAGAGTGAATTAAAAGTTAGCTAAATTTCAGGGTCGGCAGGAAAACTTTTCGATATCCTGAGCCAGTGGCCTAACTGAGCAGTGTAGGGCCCTTATTGAAAGCAGTGTTTGGGGCCGTTATACTTAACTTAATTTGAGTCAGGTTTTAGAGCCCAAATACTCACTCTATGGGGTTTTCTTGCAAAACCCAAAGAAATAATATATGACAACATATGAAGAGAAATTCTGCTCCATGATATTTTCTTTGATCTTCATCTAACAAGCTTTTCCTGGATTTTCATGCAGCTAAACAGATGGTTGTTGAACATGCACTTGAAAACATGTTCAGAAAGTTTCATATTTTCAAACTGCTTTTTGGAGGAAAACAATTCCATATTTCAATATTTGATATATTCTCGTAAACTAAACACAAAGTTTTATAACTATATGGATGTGTTTTAAGGGGAAACCTAATTGACATGCTATATCTTGCATCATTATAATGTGGTTGCTCACATTTGCAAAACATATCCAGTCCTTCGCCCATTGTAATGATGTTGTGAATAATATTAGGAAACATATGCTTTCATCAAAAAACCTGTTCTTGTGAGAAACTCTTTGGGGGTCCTTTCTGGGCACAAATGCTTGGGGTTGGGGGCCCTTAGTTTTGTGCTTAAAGGTGCACACCGTGCATTACGCCACTATCCTGAGCTTTCACTAACTCAGGATTGTATTGTGATCTGAGTCAATAGAGTTGTTCTTCGGGTCTACATATTTTTCGTCAGACATTGACAAACTGCATTAGAAGAAAGATTTGCAAATAGGTAAGCAGGATAGGTGATTTCAAGCACCTTGTGACCTCATCAACTTTATATACTTGACCTCAAGCTAATCATTGAATTTCGGGGGACACTATTTCCAATTATTGGGGACTCTTTGTTACTGTTACTCAAAGGTGTAGCCCTAGGAAAGAAATGGCCAATGTTCAATGGATTTGAATGGGAATGGCAGGAATTTCCTCTGTGTGCCAAATGTCTCGACCAGATGGAAAATTTTCAGATTCTTTAGATAGCTCAACATTGACTAATTCTTGAGGAGACAATGATAGCAATTAACAGCTTTTCGCATCTCCAAGGTTAGGACAACATAAATATTGATCTTCATCTATCAATTATAGATCATAAAATGTCTGGGTACATAAAAGATATAATTTGGCAGCAAACACAATAAAGAATTGTAGGTGGACCATTTAGTGCAAATATACTTGCATAAAAGTTGTTATAAAAACACTATATTGTTATAAAATAATAAAAAACAATTTTGGCAGAATCATCTCCCAACATACACCACACAAAAATTCAAAGAACTATATACAGTTCGAAAAACTAAAATAATTATTGCAAAAAGATAGAGATTATTTTAATTTGGACAGAGATTTTGCATAGGGAAAATTTCAGTTGATAGAAAAATGATAGTGTCTTAGTGTTACATAATTTATAGAATTCTTTGACAGCCTTGAACTATAACAGTACATAATGTGGGACAGTGAAAGACACTTCAGAACTATAAAAAGTTGATGAATCAAGCTTATACAAACAATGACATCAGCCTTCATAAGGGTTTAAGTAACATCATGTCCCCTTTTAACCCTTAATAAATTAAAGGAAAAAGCTCAACAAAACAAAAGAAAGTTATATAGAAAACTCAAATTGTATGCTACTTACTTATTTTACCATCATAACCAGCACCCCCTGCTTTTTCCATAATTTCCTTTAGAGAAGGCTGCAACTTTGAAACTTACACATCACTTTGTACCATAAATGGGATGCTGTTTAAAAACAATGAGAAAAGTTAATTGTTTCTTGGAGACAACATAAAAAGGCAAAATCAACAAACTTGATATAACCCCAGTGAAAAATCTTGCAGGATACTACAGGTCCTGTGGGATCCTAGGAGGATCCTAGATTTTTAGGGTCCTGGACAAGATCCTACCAAAAATCCTGCAAGATCCTGTGTGCATAGAATCTGATGCAAGATCCTACATAAGGATCCTGTAGGACAAACACAACTTAAGATCTTACACCTAGGATCCTACCAAAAATCTTACAGGATTTTAAAACAGGATCTTGAATAGGATCTTGCTAGGATCCAGAATGACATTGTAGGATCTTACAAGAACTAGATTAGGATCTTACCCATAACAATTCCAAGATCCTATTGGATTGTGACATGGATCCTGTCACAATTTTTGAGGCAGGGATGACTAGTTAAAAAGTTGAAACAGCCAGCACTCTTGATCTTGAACTTAGCACTTGTTTCCACAAAGAGAAAAACCACCTCTTCCTTAAATTAAAGCACCTTATCTAGAGGTACTATTTTAGCTGCAAATGACAATACTGAAAGTCATTTACATTGAAGAAAATAACGTTTCTCCACTCTTTCATTACAAAAGAAAATTAAATCAAATTTGACATTGACTGTGGGAAACATGTGTTTCAAAAATTTGAATGATGACTCTTTAATTTATAAACTTGATCAATACAATAATCAAAATAACAACAAATGATTTTCCAGTATAATATCTCAATTTTCCAGGTTTTAAAAATTACTGCTATCAGTACAGACTTTTGCACATTTTGCAATTTTTGCACAAGGGATAATTAGGACATTATTCTAAAAAAGGGACATGATGGGTAGTACCTGAATTTTAGAAACTTTTGCTGCAGCAATATTTGAATTCTAATCATTTCCATTTCTTTACATTATACAGTCAATGCAGGAATTTCATTCAAAATTTTTTGCTCCTCAAAAAGTCTGACTGTTATGCCCACATCAAAGGCAGTTGTGTGTTGTGCGTTTTCCTGATAATATTTAAAATACTTTTTAGTGTCATTACACGTTGAGTTGTACAGAGTTTGTTGACACCTTTCCATCCATTTTAGCTTTGAAAAAGTACCTCATTTCATATTTTATCTCAATTCAAAAGATTATCAGTTCAGAATTTTTTTCTTTAAGAATATTCTGTGCAAGCAGTTACAGGTCCCTAGTTAAAGGAATAAGTTGACTCTTTCACTGAGGCAAAACTATTTGAAAATTATTGTATATTCATCTTTACATCAAAGTTGTAACTTAAAAGATGGATGTCAGACCAAAACAACTGATTTTTTAAGAATTTATCAGTGAGAGAGTCTGGTACAGATAAGAAATTGTTTTAAAATTTAGTGTAATTTTATATGAAAGAAAATCTTAAGGAACAAAAAACTATGAAACAAACAGTGCAATAAGGAAGCTAACCACCCCAAGAAGCAGTTACAAACTTGTCAGCTATTCCATGGGTCCAGTCAAGATAATTGGGATGTCAGAGAAAAAGAGACCTAACAATTCAATTTTCATAGGAATTTTGACAGTATCAACAAATCACAGGCCACCTGGAATCGGTAGGTGCACTCCTACCCCCAGTCTGCAAAGTAAATGGAATTTATCAATTAGATCTTGTGCGTGCAATACTCTTTCATGCCACGTTTTCCACATGCAACCATCTCTCTACTATTCATCTGTGCTATGGGAAATTTGGTTTGCAGCACTGTCCTGGCCTTGCACATGCTACTGTAATACTCTGCAGACTGGCTTTACCAATATGATATCCAGCAAAAATATGTTCCCTATAAGGATTGACTGTTGGCCAGGTACACAAGCTACTCTCATCACACATAAATTTGCATTTGTTTCTACCTAGCATCTGAAGCTAGTTTTTGGGACACTGAGAAGCTTATGCTTATGGAGCAGTGTCCTGGTCCTTTCTTTTGATGTGACCACACCTCGTGATTCCTATGCCTGGAATTACAGAGAGCTCTCCTCACTCTGGGTGAAAGTTTGGTCATGCCAGGGACTTGGTCATGTAGAAAGCACCTCTAACAACTGAGCCATCCTCACACAATTGTGACTCTTTTGATTGAATTTGCCTAGTGTTCCTTTTTGTCATGCCACGTACTATAAAATGACATGGCCCAGTCCAAAGATGACAGTATCAGTTTAAACAATAGATATATTTGCAGAGAAAGAAGGCATTTCCTAAAACTGGACCAGGCTGGAGAACTTAGTAATATCTCTTTCACTTGCAGGTTGCAGCTGATAATGTGCTGTTGTTCAAAGCTACATACCAGAGTGCAAAGTATTTTTTGTGCGCGGGGAATTATTTTTTGTCGCTTACGCTTGCGTGGGAACAAATCATGTTGCAAAATGACAGGTTAAAAGCTGCAGGATTCCATTTTAAAATTGCACTTTTAGGGCTCGAGATTAGGCTATGCGCGAAAATCACACGAAAGTCCATGTTCCAACTGCTCGGATTACTCAAATTAATTTGCAAAAATGCGCGAACGGATTTGAGCAAAAAGTTATTGCGCGGTCACCGCGCATACCCAAACTTTGCAGTCCTGGCTACATATGGCCAAAATTATACATGCTTTCCAAACTGGGTATTGAGCAAGATCTTAGATATATCCATAAGCCCTGAATTCAGATATAAATTAATTGATTCCTAAAAACATATTAGATTTGCGTCACTGTCGAGTAAAGAGGCAAGCTTTAGGTGCTAAAACTATTTCCAGTCGTTAGATCATAAGCAGAAAAAGGAACTTTACACTCTGTGTGTGTGTCACAGTGTGGCGACAGCAAAAATAAAAAAGCTCGCTTCCTGCAAAGTATAGCGCGAAAACTTATGCAAAAGATGCTTCAAGTTTACAAATATCTAAATATACAAAGATCTAAATATGGTACAAATAATTAAAATCACAATCAATATAGTAACATAACTTTTATATTACCAGATAAGTGTCAATTTCCTGGAACCATCAAATCGGCTCGTTCATGTGTAATCTGCTTCCTTTCAGCAAATGTTTCTGATCCATTGAGTTGAATTGTTCAAAGTCACATGACGATAAAGTACAAGAGCGCAAAATGCAACACGCATGCGCAGCGAAACAGGGCTGTTATCACCACGAGTTGTTATTTCTACCTCGTTGGGGAGTTTGGGAGACGAATTAGAGAAAACTTTTTTGATGAGCAAGGTAACCCTCCGTCCCGGACTCAAAGAGCGTGCGCATGGAAGGATGGACGAACGGTCAGTGGTGGAAATTCATTTATCAGGTGGGGGAGCGAAACCCACAAAAACAAGCAAATTTTCCTACTAATAACAAAATTAAACGACAAAAGCGCTAAAAACTGTTTCTAACGGACAATTTGGCAAAAGCTGGGGACGTTCGCCCCTTCCGACACACCCGGAATTTGCGCCACTCTGTAGGGCTGCATCATTCATTTGAAGATTTTTGCTCGCTCGTCTCCTCAACAATGCCCCCACTGGATTATCATCATTATTAGCCGTGCAGGGCATCTGCTGACTGATTTCCTCTTCAAGATCCCTTTATCCCTGTTCTTCTGCGTTTGACATGACACACTTGCTGCTTTCTCGATTTTCTCCCGCCATCTTCTTATTGGTCTCCCTCAATTTCTTTGTGGTTTGAATGAAGGCAGCAGCCAGGGCATTTTTTTAAGGGTTTTGGAGTGGTGGGGCATTTTTCAAAAGGGCCCATGCTGACCTCAAGGGGACCTCAAGAAATTGTACGGGATTTATGGCCGGTGGTTAAGAATTAGGATTGTTATATGCTTCACTTACGCTAAAATTCTGGCTTTTTGCAAGGGTAACTGGATTTTTTCACACATATATCTTTCCAAAATCTTAAAGATAACTATTTGAATAAGATGTGTTTTTATCAAGGACATTAACTAACAGAAGTTTGCAATTTAGTTTTGGATGTGGAATCGAAAATTTTCCGTTTTTGCAATTTATGGTCACGCTTTTTTCTTACAGAATTTTTTTAGGATTGAAGATTTAGGCTTATGGATTTGCCATGAATTTTCTTTAAAGCATTCTTATATGTTATTTATAAAGAAAATTTGAACCTTTACATGGAAATTTAAGGGGCAAAGAGAGTGGGGGTGACCTTTTGGGACCATGCTCTAAAATGTTTTCTTGCGATCTGCTTTTAGAAGCACCAAAACTTCAAACTCACAACTAGGGCCACAAAAAGGTGCGGGCGGTGGCAAATTGCCTTAGGGCCTTTAGGGTTATGAGGCCTCTCGAGGTTTCCAGTTTACGAAAGCCATTAGTAAGACTAACAAGGTTTTCAATTTTTTAAATGATTGTAAAGCAAATGCCTGCAAAAAATATTCTGAGTTTATGCTTATCTAAAGGGCATGGTTGCCAAAGATTTTTTGCTTGCTTCGCTCGTAACAGACCTCATCTTCTCGTTTTGCCACAGGGCCTCCGAAACCTCTCGGTCACACTGCTCGCAACTAAGCCAGAAAATTATATCTATATCATTGCAGCTAGGCCACCAGAAACTACTACTACTACTACTACTACTATTTCTACTACTACTACATACTACTCAGTTCAGTTTCATGGTTATTTTCGTCATTTTATGCAAGGCTATTGAAAACGAATTTGCAACAGCACATAGAAAATATCATCAAAAAAATTAACTGGTGGATTTTGTGTACCAGCAGAAATGCAAGGGAAAACAGGCTTATTAGCGAGCGGAGCGTCGTAGTGTAACTGCTACCCTAAATATCACTCCGGAGTAAAAGTTACGATAGCAATCCGGTATAGTGTAACTCTAGCCCAAGTTGCCCTAAACTATGTTACGCCACAGGCCCGTGATTAGGGAATGCAAGCATGAATGCTAATAATCGACAGAAATCATCATAAAGGCTTGCTCCTTCTACAAATAGATTATGAGTTTCTGACCACCTTGAAATGGAACACAAACTGTTCAATAATCACAAGAATAGGCAGGTAAGCAAAAAAATGCGTGAATCGCTGATAATGGTGCAAATCATGTTCACAAAAAGATATCGATAAAATAATCAATACATTTGGTCGCTGTCATGGAAGAAATTCGCTTTTTTGATGAAAATGTGTGAGGTTTTAAAAATGCTTATTATTTAACATTATTTTTATGACGTTGTACTTTAATCATTTCCTGACTAATATTAGAAGCTTGTATGTGTTAAAATATACTTTATAAAAATTCGGGCGTTATTATTTTTCGGGCAAAAAAATTCAGCCCCTCCCTCCCCCCGGGCGTGAATTTGAAAGGCGAACTTTCAAAGTATAGCATTAAAAAATTAATTTTTAAATAGAAACGCCGAAAAAAAATTTGAACTACACCTTCACACTATCTTGCGCCCGAGCCTCTATTTGACAAAGACGTCTCGTGGGAAAGAGTTGATAAAATGGCGGTTGATAAACAATCGTGTCGGAGAAATTAGTATCAAAGGAAATATCACACATTCAGTTGCATGAGGACAACAGTTTAGACTTATTGATTCATTCTATAACGAAGAATATTTGCTTGCGATGTCAAAACAATTTTGGCTTTCTGCTTATAGCTAATGAAGAAAATATGGAGAATGTTACGCCGAAGTCCTGTTGCTTCAAAATTGAGCCGCCCACTCTGATATTATTCTATGAACTAAATGAAAGTGGTGCGTCCTAAATATATAGTATTTCACTTTTTCCTAAACTTTAATTAGACTTCTTAGACCCACTTATGTTGTTTTTGCTACAATTAACGGCGTATCCTGCTGGCTGCTGATATGTGTATTGAAACCAACCAACTAGGCCTGAATCTTTGCTGTTACACAATTAACTCTTTAGCAGGTTTTCTACTAGACAGAATTTTCCGCGCGCAGCAGGGTGACTTTTTTCTGAAACAATGCACGAGCAAGGAAAAGAAGAACCTTCAACTAATGATCAGAAGTAGCTACAAAAAAACAAGAAATATTTTGGGTCCTTTAGCTATATCAAGCAAGAAATGGGGGAGTTTAATCTGCTAGTGAACGACACGATGGTCTTTGAACAAGAACCGTTTTTCAGATATTTTCAGATGTTGCCACAGATTTTGAAATACTTCTAAGATGGGTTGCACTTTGTATTTGCAAGAAAATGGGATCAAAGTGAGAGGTTGTGATCATGGGATCAAAGTGAGACTTTCAAACACGTGTGCAGAGTAGCGACGACTAGAAGTGGCCATTGTTTGAAATTAACAATGCAAATACAAAATCCGCTCTACTGCATGTGGAAAATTCTGCCTAGTGGAAAACCGTCTTTACTCAATTACTTTCACACTCTCCACACCATACTCACTTTCATAGCCTGCATGTAGACTTTACAAATGGTGAAGTCTCTGCAATTGCGTACCCGGTATGGATTCCATGGCAGCTGCACTCCCGATAAATTTTGTAAAATTACCTGTGCACCCTTCCACACCCAGAGGATTAAAGTGGTTTTGGGTGTGGCTCAAATTAAAAAGCTTTTCCAAATATGACAGAATGACTTTCAAAATTTTTCTACAACTTAGAGATTGGAAAAAAATGTGTCCTTCTAAATAAAATGAACTTCTTGTGATCAAGACCACAGAGAGGTTTAAGTAGCTTTGTGCAAAACTGAAAAATATGGCCCCTTATGAGCAAAGCAAACAGAAACTTTTTGTGACCAGGTTCTTTAGATTAGCTCAAAAGTACTTCAGAATATTTTTGCAATCATTTTCTTGCAATTGTTTAAGATGTTTTACTATTTTTTAAGCATGTTACGTTTGATTAATTCCATTCTTGAAATAAAATTTCTTTATAAGGCTTCCTAGACCTTACAAAGTGCACATTCAATTGTACGCACTTATCACAGATGTATTCCTGGGTAATAGCTTGTGCTTTACAAGATCTCGCTGAAAGTTGCCATGAAACCTAGACATGCCATGGGCCAGAAACCTCTGGTTGAAAACTACCATGGTCCAGTAGGTCAGCACTTCTTTATTGAATCATCTTTGTTCACAATATCTTTTATCTTTAACCCAATGGCTTTGAATTGAATTTTAATTATTTGTACCCAAAAAAGCTCACAAGGACATAGACAGAACAATGATAACATGTCTTGCATGATCAAACTGATTTGATTATAAGCATGCAAAGAAATCCCCAAAGGCATAGGGTGAAAGAGGCATTGTTAAGATTTGTTCCTTAAACTCTTGGAGAGACATCTCATTAGCCTAATGGTAAGAGTTTTGAATAAGGAACTAGTCTTGCAAAATAAGTGGATTCAATTTCCTCTATTTGTAGTGTCTGCATGCAGGTTATCACTTTTGCTGCTTTTCATCATCAAAGCATTAGAAAGGGTTGACTGGCCATTGCCTAATGATACCAAAAGTGTGAGACTTTGAGTTGCAACTTAGAACCAACCTGTTCTATACGCCAAAGTGTATTCAAAATTTTAGCTAATAGCTTGATTATTTATTTCTTGAACTTTCTTGAGCTAGAACTTTTGTTAATGATCCCGTTGTTTACTTGATTTAAATTTCAGCTACTAGACTTGTTTCTATATTATGTCTTTTTCTTCTCCTCAGGTAAGATTCATAGAAGGTCTATACCAATCAGAAACCTTAATGAAAAATCAAGGTAAACCAGATGATTATTTAATTCTTACATTCCAGCTCTTTGAGTAAGCATAATGATGCCACATGGTATCATTAGTCAACACTTCTGTATTGCTTGATAATATCCGCAATAAGAAGATCTTGCAAAACCAATGCTGGTAACATTCAAGAGGCTCAAGGCTAGTTTTTCTGATCTTGGATTAAATTTGAAAATTCATCTTGAATGCCATATTGGCATTTTAATACCAGATTATGTTGCAACACTGCCAATGCTTGAATTTTCTTTGAAAAATGACAATCTGTTACAGCCCTTAAATACTTTTTTATAATCCCAGCTTTTTCAATGTTCATCTATGAGTGGTATGATTACAAATTTTTATAAAATGTTAGTTTTATGATTTAGCTTTACTCAACTTTGTTTAATTTTTGGTGACTCTAACTCTAAACGTTTAAATCTTGTTTTAAATTAGAATTGATGATATAATAAAAGACCTGAACAACACCCATCACCAGAAATATCTCAAGACAGTACCAGAAAAACAGGTAATGTAATTAACATAAAAGCCTTTTTGGCCTGTTACCACTGTGTGAGCATTACTGTGTTTCTTGAGAATATATACTCGTAATAAGTAGTTGGTGAAGAGAACCTTAAGCTTATGTTATACCCCCTCTTCCAGCTAAAACGGCTGCTCAGAAAGCTTCATGAGAAGATCTACAGCTATGGAAAGGCGACAAATCTTGTTTCTCCTTCAAACAGTGACGAAGATTTCAATAAACTGGATGACGAGGAGCTGAACAAAGTGAAAGACAAAATGTCCGAATCTTTCGAGCAAAACAGAGTGAAACCCGGTGACCCAGAATGGAAGTATGAAATTGACGTGGATTTTGAAGCGGGTAACGGGAATAAACTGGAATCAGGATGGGATTCAGAAGAATCCGAATTGGAATTTTGAAGCCATTTTACCTGTTTCATCGTTCAAGTCTGTTTTATTTTTTTGTTCATTTCCATATGAATTCACGCACTCGTTTTTTTTACAGTTGATGATATTTTTGATATTTTGTTCGAATTATATAAATTTGATACCGCGAATTGATTGTTGACCAGTTGTCACTAAATCGTTTATTTGATCTCCTAGGTGTTAGATATGATTAAAGTTTGGTTCAAATTGCATATAAATTGAGCTAAAGCTAATCAGTGACGTGTCATATGATCTTAAGAATGGGGTGGGGGGAGGGGCGTCTGTCAAAAAAAATTGATCCCTAGGTTTTGATCGTTTTCAGAATGATCAAGACTTTATAGAAAAACTTAACATCTGTTGATAAAAAGAAAATAAATTAAAGGGAAAGAGAGAAGGAAAGTATGTAGCAGAAGTAGAAAAGGAAAGGGTGAGAGAGGAAGGAGAGGAAGGAAAAAGCATGAGCTAGGCAAGAATGAAAGCGTGTAATAGCAGGATAAAAGCGGAAGGGAGAGTATGGAGCTCTGAAGAAGGAACTTGCAGTGTATATTTGGATTATCGTGCCCAGAGAGGCAAATAGCTCACTCTTGCAAATAGTATACGAGATTTTTTCCAAAGTAGAAGGTATTTCCAGGAATGTTCAGGTAAAATAATATAATTTTCATAAAAAGGTTTACGAGAGTTTCATAGAGTGATTTTGCCCCTCGATCGTGTCATGACCGGTGTGTAAAACGAATGAATCTTTGCACTGTAGTTTCCTTAAAGCGCCGTCTGGTGCATAAAACCTCTTAAAATTTGTCTATTTTGTGTGCAAAATTTTTCATCGGAAAAATGTCACAAGCCAACAAAATGACTGAAAGTCAGCAATCGAAATTTCAATATCGCTTTTAGAATATTGTCAGAAATTTTCAGTATCTCCCAAACTGAGGACTCTAGGAAAATGGCTACTTAGGACACTTTCCATGATGATACAATAATTTTAATTATGGTATTCAGCCAAAAACAATTGAACATTTTCTGCTGCTGAGACTTTGCGTCGGGCATGTGTAAATTAGGCTGCTTGGATCATATAAATGATGTAGCCAGTTTTACACTTTACCAATAGTGGCTCACAAGACCAATTCTTTGAACGTTTTTTGAAGCACCGGCCCCCGCAGGCCTCCCCAAATACATCGTGAAGCCCTGTATTGCAATAGCCAAAATCAGCTTAATTTGTTTATCACAGCAGAGTACGGGGGCTTCAGCTTGCTGCCATTCAAACATTTCCTTTATATAAGTGGCGTACCCAAGGGGGGAATACGGGGGTCCGGACACCCCCCCCAGTATTTGTCAATAACAATTGTAAAATACTTTACTGTTTACCGTAGCTGACATGAATCAAATAGTGGGGTGAAATTTTGCAAAAAAGGCTTTTCCCCGCATTTGCGAGTGTCTGAAGGGCGTGGTCCAAAAAATTTCTGGGGTCTGCGCTCCAGACCCCCCCCCCCCCC